TATCACATTTTCCGTGTCATGGATTTTCCAAATTGAATTAAAATAATGATTGAATAATATGGAATCCTGAGATGAAGGGACGGGATTGTTCGATTTAGTGTTAAGCCACAATGCAGTAATGAAAAGGGAAATAAGTTAAACAGCATGCTACTTTAACAATAACTATTGTTAGTTGCATTTAAAATTAAATTTTGTTTCTTCGTCTAATTAAGCATGGTAATAAAATTAGAATGGTGTGCTAGTTATTAGGTCAGTCCATTACCAACTTTCATACGAACCATCGGAGCGTGACGGCTGCTGCCAGACGCAATTTTTACCTTACTTTGAGGGGTCGCGGCGGTTTTGCTTTTCATTCGCAAGTTTGAACTTTGATCTGTTGCTTCGTTGATTGCCAATGTCGCACCGAAAGTTAGCTGAATCCTGTATATCATAATATCTTCTTTGAAGGCTTAAAGTATGGTATTATATATACTATGCTGACTAGATAGGATGTCCGGGTACCAGTACCTGGCAGCCCTGAAGTCCGACAGCCGGTACCGTATCGGTCATACAGTTTTGTTAGTCTGCCCTTCTGTCTACCTGTACCGTACCACTGCTTACTACCGTGTTTCCTTGAAATAAGACCTATAATATATAAAAATGATTTTAATAAAAGCCCTCTCCTTAAATAAGACCTAGTCCATACTGTCACAACCTAAATTAGAAGGCTCGGCGGTATGGCGCATCGTGCTACCTAGGCGTTAGGAATACGCTCGCCACCGTATCTCTGATTACCCTTCGTAGGTTCGAATCACATGCGGGGATGATCACGTGCGAGAGGATTGCTGGACTCCGCCGCCGTAGGGTGGTTCACGTAACCGCTGGTCGGTTACGGCTTCCTCTACCATCAAGTCCATGCTTCGGAAAACAAAATACCTGGCTAACTAATCCCTTACCCGACCTGGATTGGTAACCGGACGAGAGGCCGTGGTTCGCCATATGATTAAGCCGTCTTATCGGCTTTCCTCTTCCCCGGGATAAATATGTATATCCTATCCTAAAGATAGGCACTGTCGCTGCGCCTGGCAAAGAAACTGGGCCGAAGAATGGATAAAAGATGTTTACTTTTTGTTACGATTAATGAATTTAATATGATATTTGAATACTATGCGTTATGGATAAATTTATTGGATGAAAGATTTTGTTTACTTTTTCGTTACGAACAATGAATTTTATTTGAATACTAAACGTCATGGAGAAATTTGTTGCGTCACATACTTACTCTTTGCAATACTGCGGCCAGTAGATCATTGAACACCTCCGAAAGAGAGAGTCTACAGATAACTCTAACCTCATTGGTATTTTGAATGAGCACCTTTGAATATATTTAAACCTTTATACTTCACAATAACACCTAAATATTTATGAATGTGAGCTCAGTAGTCTATGGTTGCAGTAGTCTAAACTCGCCTACGGCAGTCGCCCGACAGACCGTCAACTCACCAGTCGAGCAAACGCTCTGCGACGTGACGTCATCGATGCTCGAGGTGAAGATCGCGATCGACCGGTCGATCTTCACGTTTCGAGTGATCGATCGCGTCTATTGTTGGTAAATTTAACAAAATACCCCCAAAATTTCCTGAAGCAGTTTCATGCAGCGCCTGTTGTGTGTTTTAAAACACAACGAATACAGTACTGTACATGACATACAGTATTTGAGTCTGGACAAGCCCCATTTACATGTTATTACGTAAAAATGCAAGTTTCGCCGCTACCAAGTTTAAATTGAACTTGCCGAATATTGTGTGTTTTAGTTGACAAATGTGCAGTGAGTTAAATTATTGTAAATTAGATGCTGAAAATCGAGCAGTAGTGTTTCATTGATGGTTTTCAAAAATTTATTTTGCTCTATTTGTATAGTACGCTAATACTTGGCAAGGTTTTTTGAGAAATTTACGACACTCGGGGCTAAAAATAGGCATGTGTTATGTCTGAATTGTATGATTTGAATAAATGAATGATGAAACATTTACTCCGGCTACTATTACATAATCAAATTAACAAATTAAATGGAACATAAATAATACAAATTTTTGTGGCGTTTTAATTTAGAATGTGCCCACGGAGCTGAGCTTATTGGCAGTGCTGTATTTTTTTGTATGCGTGTTTGCAATAATCTATGCATAATCAGTACCCATTCGTTTTTGTATATGACCTTATTACCAATCAGTCGATCGAGAGCTATTTTGAAGATTTTAGTCGATCACGGACGAAAGCAGGTTGGCCACCCCTGCTATAAATCAACAGTCTAACTTCGCTAACGTTACTCCAATTTCGTCTGTAGACTGTATTTCTATTCAAACAACATGATCAAAATAAGCCACTTATACAAATAAAAATGCTTTCTAGAGCATATTTATGTATTTTTCTCAACATTTGAGCACTAAAAATATCAAAAACGCATTTCTATAGACCTAAAACATCACCGTAGGAAATGCCAAAAGACCGACAACTCACCAGGCCTCTAGGTAGTCGAGTTGTCCACCTCCCGTTTAGGCTACTGCGACCATAGACTACTGAGCTCACATTCATAAATATATAAGTGTTACTGTGAAGTATAAAGGTTTTAATATACTTAAAGGTGCTCATTCAAAACATTTAATTCCAATAATTTGCAACAAAGTTCTAAAATTTAAACGCACACAGTCCTATAAGTCAACAGTCTAACTTCGTTAACGTTACTCCAACTTCGTCTGTAGACTGTATTTGTATTTATATAACATGAGCAAAATAAGCCACTTACACAAATAAAAATGCTTTCTAGAGAATATTTATGTATTTTTCTCAACATTTGAGCCCTAAAAATATCAAAATTACATTTCTACAGATCTAAAACACCGCCGTAGAAAATGCGAAGGGACGGACAACTCACTAGGCCTCTCTGTAGTCGAGTTGTCCATGTAGTCGAGTTGTCTGTCAGGCGTACGGTCCGTACCGGTACTTCCTAAAGTCATATTACCGTGCTTCCGTACGGCTGTACGGTATAAGTTTAGACTGGCGCGACAGTGTTGGTATTTGGCCAATAACTGAATATTTACTCGTACCGTACTGGAATACGGTACCGACCGGACTGCTTTTGCATGGTTATACTTGTCCAGTTGTCAGCAACTTGTCATTTAATTTGAAATAGCCTTCACTGAATAAGGTCCGAAACACAGAAAACAGCGCGAAATAGCAGAACCTTAAGAAGCCCGATACAGCAATATGTAATGCTTTTCTATTATATATGTCAGGGTTGTCAGCTACGGGCCACAAAATTATTTTAGCGTTGTTCACGGGCCACAATAGTGCAAAAAATAGGTAAATAGTACAAAACAAACACTTTCATTGTACAAACACAGTGATCATTGTTTGTCATTTATCAAGCTAAAGCATGCAAAGACCACCAAAAAACTCTGTAAAACGTGTAAAAAGTTTTCTATATCTGCATTTAGTTTAAGATTTCAAACTCCTTATAATGTAAAAAGTGTTTTCGAACATTGATAAGATTCTCAGCGCAAAATCCCGCAAATGCGATTTTTTGATTACCCTACCTCCAAGTCTTGCCTACCTGCCTACAGCAAATGCGACCTGAGCCACAGATAATGAGGCTGCGGGCCCGGGTTTGGACCATCCTGATGTATGTTAATGCTGTAATAAAGAAATATATGGTTATACATATATATTATTATTGTTTTATTTCTAAATACCGACTACCAACCACTAAGTACACATTGTGGTAAAAAATAATGACTATAAAATACAATCGGTGGTGTGACATATCGTGCTATGCGTTAAGGATTATGCCGGTTGGTCACAGCACCTCTGGTCTGATTACCCTGCAGGATTTTCTTTGTTTCACACTGTTTTCCTAGGTTTCGCACTGTTTTCCTCTGCTGTATTCAGCAACTTATCTAGTAAGACCGTGTAAAAATAGGGTAAGATCAGTTTTCATCTTTGAAAAAATGCTGGTCGCTTGTCTGTGTTGTTATGGATGATGTTACAAGCCACTGATCTCTCTGTACTGCTGTAAGTTTTACGAATATGGTAGCCTACTGAAATCAGTGAATTATTAGGTCATAATGATTAATTCACACTACAGCTATGTCACTTTGTTTTGAATTTTGTACACTACTTATTTCCTGTTAGTTCAGGTTCAGCGTGAAATGTATACCATATACCAAGGCTACTCAACTGGCGGTCCGAATCCGGACCTTTCGACCTTATAATTTGGACCGCGTCTGCTCGTTTATTTTGGCAGCATAAGCATCGTTTGGTAGTTTTAGATGAATTTGATACAATTTAAATACACAGCTATACATTTTGTAGTAATGGTACAGTGGTTAGGGCTGTCCAAAATCGAATAATTTTTTGATTCGAATCGAATATTATTGCGCAATAGTAAATCTGTCTCTATAATACAATAAACGCCAGCCCTTCGATGTTGTGATAACGTCTGTGCAGTTACATCAAAGGAGATCACACGCTTGTATGAACTGGTCAAAAAAATTGGAGAACTCCAAAATTTGGATCTCGAAAACTGTTGAGTGTTAAGAGTAAAAATTGCACTATTCAAAAATTGCAATCTCAATTTTGATGGATTCAGTTTTAATAGGACATATAAAGCCTGTAGATGCTATTTTAATCCTATTCACTAGTCTTTATGTTTTTTTGTGTAAATTTCAGCAAAATAATAACAACCATCAATATAGATAAAACTGTTGCTCAAGTTCAAAATTGCATTTAAAAATTCCAAGCTAGTTTGATGACAATATTATTTGATGACTATAATATTGTTAGTCTGTTAGTGTACAACAGCCATCAAAATGCAAGAGTGCAAATATTTGTCTTGGTATATAGATGGATAATACAGTAATGCCATCATAAGAAATTACAAATTCCATTCAAAGAAGGTATTGCCATCATAAGGATCCCAAAACACCCGTTTCAGCTTTGAGTTGCCTGTACCATGTTCCTATGATAACTAACTCAACAGCTTCAAATCGATTCTATTTATAGAACTATCGTTTTCTAAATTGTCTCATTTTTCTCTCTCAAAAACGTCACGATCGATTATACTTTGTTGTGATGACCACGCATGAAATGGCTAATCAAGTGTCACCGGGCGGGCATTAGTAATGACATGTTCATCACTAAATGAAGGCGAGAGAAATATCGGGAAACCAATTAGGCAAGCCGGGAGCGAGAGTGGTCTGAGCTCGGAGCGCCTCCGCTTGCCCCGATGAAAAACATCCCGTAAAGGTGGTTTCCGCTTTATGTACCGGTACCTAATTTTAGCGATTCGAAAATTAGCCAAAAAACGATTCGAATAATTTGCGATTCGATTTCGAATATTTGGTTCGCTTGGACAGCCCTAACAGTGGTACCAATATGCGACATTTGTGTCTATATTTGCGAGCCATCATTAAACGTTTCGTTCATAATGAAATAAATTTTCTGTAATGTACGGAGCCCAGTAATTTTGAAGTTTTCTAAATGGATCTTTGGTGAATACAGTTGAGTAGCCCGGCCATATACCACTTGAGTGATGTTCTAGTTCGCTTCGTTAGTCGTTTTGTTGAATATTCAGGATTAGCGTAGTGGATTCTATGCACCTTTTATGTGATATCGGTCTCGTATCTTGACTTGATCCTGTTTTCCGGGTTTATCATAAAATGTATACCACACTTTCGTGATCTTTTAGTTTGGTCCACAGCAAGACTGCCCAACCCGCGGCTCGCCAGACTGTTTTTTGCGGCCCGCCCTATGAAGTTTGTAAGCAGACTTTTATGTTTTTTCTATGTTATATATAAAATATGTAGGCTAAATTATGTTTCGTGATTTTGGGGCAAATATTCGTGCCATCTATCTACATTCAAATGCCGGTTCTTGTTATTACGTATGTGTCAAGGCTTGCATCCTAGTGGACATTAACGTTGATTTTTTTTTTATTTCTCACAAAACTGAGCGTTCTGTTCGACGAACTCGAAAGATATTGTGCGATCATTGAGGACGAATGCTGAGTGCAATTATAGGAATGAATTTGGAGTCTAAATTTGCAAATTAATTTGATTTTGATTGTTTTCTTACGTGTCTGCTTTGATCGTATTTATCGACAACGTAAAATTAAAAGCCAATAATATCTTTGGTACTGGTCCCTGGACTCGTTGTCCTTTTATGTTTGTTTGTTTTTATTTAATTTTTGGGTTAAATAAGATTTCGGAAATGTCGTCACGCGTATTCGTCAATAATTCTGATGAAATTGACTTAATGGCATTGCTGCATATTGGTCACAAATCAGTATATGGACTATTCATGCAGAAATTTTTGTAATGTTACTTCGTTAAATACTTGTATATGTGTTTCAAATTCACGAAACTGCCCACTCAAACTTGATATTCCCACGACATTGTCGCACATTATGCTCATTTAAACATTGAGTCAGTATCATAGCTACTGCAAAATGAATGAATAAAAACACTATAACGCAAATATAACAATCAATTTCGACGTGATGTGTATGTTCTCGTGTGGTTGTCAAAAACGCAAGTGTCATGTCCACGCCCCGCGTTATCAGATATTCGAATAGTAAACTGCTATTCTAATATTCGACTTGATATTCGAATAATTTGCCAGCCCTATTCAGTAACCAGAGAGCAATTAATAAATTGATTGATTTTATGTAAACTTGCCTTTTACGTATTATGTAAATTACCTACACCGAAATCAGGACTTAGCTGGTATTAATGTTTGGTACAAACGTTTGCGGCCCGCAACGTACTGTGTCACTATGATTGCTGGATTGTGAATTCAAAATATTTTTTGCTGAAGCAGTTAAGTATCAAAATTGAAGATTTCCGATGTCAGTTTTCATTTAGTTTGTCACCCCAATTCAGTTTTGAGGAATCATGTTATAAACCTTTTCTTGCAGAAAACATATATCTATTTATTCCCAGAACTTCACAATGACATTAGTTATGGCAGAGACCCCATGTCGTAAAATCCCAGATGGATTTTACAGGATTGAACTCCACAAAACAGATTGGGAAGTTCCTATGAAATATCAAGATTTGTCGCCGATTGGTACTGGTGCCTATGGTTCTGTGTGTTCAGCACTGAACACTGAACACAAACTAAAAATGGCTGTAAAGAAGCTGGCCCGGCCATTTCAGTCTGTTATACATGCAAAGCGAACCTATCGGGAATTACGAATGTTGAAACATATGCATCATGAAAATGTCATTGGCCTCTTGGATGTTTTCACACCCTGTGAGAGTGGGTGTGATTTTGATGACCTATATTTTGTTACTCATCTAATGGGAGCTGATCTGAATCAAATAATAAGATCACAAAAATTGACAGATGATCATGTACAATTTCTTGTTTATCAAATACTCCGTGGGTTAAAATATGTTCACTCAGCGGATGTTATTCATCGCGATTTGAAGCCAAGTAACATTGCTGTGAATGAAGATTGTGAATTAAAGATTCTTGATTTCGGTCTCGCTCGACAAACAGAAGATCAGATGACAGGTTATGTTGCCACTAGGTGGTATCGTGCACCTGAAATAATGCTAAATTGGATGCATTATAACCAAACAGTTGATATTTGGTCAGTAGGATGCATCATGGCTGAACTACTCACAGGAAAAACACTTTTTCCTGGTACAGATCATATAGATCAGTTAAAGCGCATCATGAATCTTTGTGGAACCCCAAGTGATGATTTACTACATAAAATCAAATCAGAATCTGCTCGCACTTTTATTCAATCACTGCCTAGAGTACCAAGGAGAGATTTTGTTCAGGTGTTTGTTGGTGCAAATCCCAAAGCTATTCAGCTTCTAGAGAAAATGCTTATATTGGACACGAGCAAAAGATTGACAGCAGAAGAGGCGTTACAACATCCATATTTGGAAAAGTTCCACGATCCTGAAGACGAACCGACAGCAGATCCTATCGATCAGTCATTTGAGGAAGCTGAGATGTCCATAGATCAGTGGAAAAAACTCACTTATGATGAGGTGAAATCATTTGAATTTAGCCCAGATCTTATAGCTGATTATATTGACTAACTACTGTTCATAGCATCATTTGTTTATCTATTCCAATAAAATAACTGGAATTGTATAATCAACCAACCAAGGGCTATCAATGTATCCATTCTCCGAAGCCTTGACGCAATTTATTTTTTATTGGATATTCTGTCTTAAGAAGATTGTGAAAGATGTAAATTTGGCACTTTAATATTCACTCTTTCATACTTTTTGATGTTGTGAGCCGGACGTTGTCCAGTTAATCACTGGTGGTCAGCCAAGTGCTCATTTATAGTATCAAAATGTTTTATGCAATGCAAATTTACAAAGGAGGTATGGAGTAGCTGTCTGTGTTCAAATAATCAGAAATCTATTAATTAATAATTCACATCAAAATGAATGTTAGCCTAAGCTTTCAATTATCCCAGGAGAGGCACATATATCTTTTTACAGCTTTTTTACATTTATAATGACAATTGAATTGTTTCTTGGATTTTGATTGGTATTATTCTTTAATAACATTTATTGACTGAATATGAACTTGACACTCTGTTAGGCATGAATATCAGAAAACTGCTAACAAGGAAATTTTAGACTGGTACATGTGAAAATCCAGTTGAAACACTAACGGAAACAACTCATCATTATTTGTGTGTTATTGTTTTCATTGCCACTCCAATAAATTGGTGCTCAAAGGCTATCAATGGGCCTTGATTAAATATTTCCGCCTGGAAATAATACAGCTTTTTTGACTACATGTGTTGCAATGTCTACTATATATCGGTTTCATATTACCCAATTTGCAAATGATTTGGCAATATTTAAGATGGGGAATGGGATATGAGAGCTTCACAACAGTGTACTTGTTCCCTTATATATATATAAACACTTGCACCACAAATTCATTATCTCCTGCACCAAACAATCAGCAACTGGTAGTTAAATAGTTTCAAATATTAAATGTTAAGATTTGTACCAATCATGTTCAATTTTTATAATACTCAGTAAATATTGTTGAAACTGCAGGATTTGAATAAAAGTTCTGTCAAATATATGAATTTTTATGTTGGAAAGACATGTTTAGAATTTTGATGTTGGGGTGAATTGACACAAAAATGTGACATTGTAGCAAAATCTGGGGTGATATTCTGGCTTCTGGTAAATCACATTTATATTTTGTATTGAGATGAACGTAAATAAAAACTAAGTTTGTAGTATATAAAACGCTGAACACTTTGCATATAACTATTTCAATGTGCTTAGCAAGCTGCTGAGCTTATATTTGTCGTGAGTTACTGATCCACTATCAACTTTGTCAAAAGATATTTCAGTACATGCATTTATTTTCTGCATTAATCTTCACTATACAGACTTAAAAAAAATAATCTGTTTTTGCTTTCTTGGAAATTTGGATCGGCCAGTACTTATTACCAGAAGATCAGAAATGTACCCAACTTTATATGCAAATCAATATACCGAACTTGCCACGTTAGTATATTATCTTTTGCATCTCTGAATGGCGTTATCTGGTTGAATTGTGTCGTTTACACAGAAATCATCCAATTTAAAATGCTAGATTGTTTGTGGAATTCCAACTGAAACTAGTTATTTGTGGTACTACTACATAATTTCATTATTCATGAATTGGTTGCACTTTTTTTATCAACCACCTGTGCCTCAAGTATTTTAGTTGTCTATTGATGCTGTTCATGTATGTTCAAAACCTGAATCATGAGATTAGACTTGCCTACATTTATGAACATAGGAATAGTTAGTAGTCACCTTTTAGTTTCTCTTCTAACAGAATATTAATTTTACCATTATTATTTGTGCCTTATTAATATTATTTTTGTATTGAATATTATTGTCTAAAACATTTCTATTTGTAAATACTGTACAATGCACATTTCACTTGAATCAAGAGATGAAAAAATCTCAGAGCAATCCTAATTGTTCAAATTTGTAATAGATGTTTCCCTGACTATTGACCTCAGACAAATTCTTCCTATACTCTATAATTGCAAAAATATTGATGCTTATTTTGAGGCCGTTTTGGCGAGTTGGCGTTTACCAACTAGTTTACATGTTTCATAACCATAATTTTGATTCAATACATTCAACCATCATCAGTATCGATGCCTAATTTTAGTCTGGTCTATGGCAGCTATTTCGTAACAATTTTGAAAACTGCAACTATACCTACAAAATGACCACTGATTGAATAGCTCGCAAAAGCACTTATACGAGCTAACGTTCATACCATGTCAGAGTGAATAAGTGACACTTTGCTTATTAACCAATGATACAGAAATAAATAATAGACTCGATGGTCGGGGAAACATCATTTGTAAAGATCATTGACTGATTGCAGATGTTAGGCACTAAAAATTTTCTTGACTAATTCTCGCAGAAAATGATGCAATTTTATGTGAACTTTTTAGTCATAACATCCAGCATTGTACACAACTAAAAAAAGCTAACAGCCTGAAAAGAGTCATGACTGATGCAATGGCAAACTTTTTTTTATGCCAAGCTGATTCTGTAACAGCTTGATATATCATCCTCATTAACAACGATTTACCGAATATGTCAACACTGATGCTTTTGTTCTGTATATATTATATGAGTTGTACCAAGAAGAACATATTATGTTGTATCAAATGATTACTTTATTCAGGATATTTTGGGTGTTGTACTATATGTATATGTGAGATTGTGTTCCTGGCCGATAAAATATTGATTCAGAATTTTCATAAATAGGTATACCGTGTTTCCCCGAAAATAAGACAGTATTTTATTTCAATTTTCTTTCAAAAAATAACACTAAAGCTTATTTTCGGGGGATGTCTTATAATTTCATTTATCAAAAACAAAATTAGAAAGTACAGAAATAGATTTTAAAGTATTAGAACCTAATCAACACGTTTGCCTCTCTCACACGTTTTAGAATAATCATTTGAAACGTATGGGACAGATTTCTTGCTGTCGACCACGTAAAAAAAATTCGCGTTATTGAATAGGTCTTATTTTCAGGGGAGGGCTCATATTAAAATCATTCTTAAAATTCGGGATGAGTCTTATTTTCAGGGTAGGTCTTATTTTCGGGGAAACACGGTAGTAGTTTCAAGCTAAGTAATATCCCATCAATTTTAAATAGGTAATTCCCCCTCGTATATAAAACAAACATGCTATTCGTAGAAAACTGAAGGTAAATTCATGATTCAATAAACATGTTTCTATAAATTTAAAAAAAAATGACCAAAATCTATATAAACAAAAACAATTCCTGACCGAAAAGTATTCTGGATATGAAGAGTTTGTTATCTTATTAGAAGTACTAAAACATCGTTACATATTATAAAAACTGTTTTATTCACAGTTGATCACTGAGAGGAGAACATTTTGCCAACCATCCGCCAAATAGTCGGCCTTGCCGTTGACAAAGAATAAGTATTAACCGATAACGTGCAGTGTGACAATTCGCATGTCCAAATTACAACAATAACGATGCAATGTAGCAAAGGAAATAAATACTCCTGGGCGCGGGCGGGAATCATGTGATCATAGTTTTTTTCGTGGAAAATTACTAGTTATCGTGAAATATTACAAGGAAATGAATTGCACATCGACCTCGTTTTGCAGCACATGCTGTTAGCAAAAATGTATTGAAATCAACAGTAATCATCCATTCTCAACTTGTGCTCTCTGTATTTGCTACATCTATTGCGAACCAAGGCAAACGGATTTCGCGGGGTCAAGTCTGGCCAAAGATAATAACTGAAAGTGAATTCGTATTTACATATTACGCGATGGCCTATTCGGAACACGATTATAATTTATGATGACTAAATTTAACGACAATGCACATCTTGAATAAGCCCGATTCCATTGCGGCTGTGTAGGGTGCAGTGGCTTGAGTCCACCTGTACCCAAATCTATACGCACGAAACTCTTTGATAACATTCATAGTTTATCTCATTCTGGTTCCAAAGGTTCAACTGATCTAATTTCATCACGCTACGTGTGGCTCGGAATGGAAAAGAACATTAGACAATGGGTTCGGGAATGTGCTAAATATCAGCGTTCGAAAGTGCACGTACCCAGTAGACAAATATCAATGTTCCTTTCGATAGATGCAACACTGTCAACCGGATATATTAGTTCCAGTTTTAAGCAGAGGCTACAACTACATTCTGATGTGTATAGAGTGTAAGGTCGTAGATCAGTGTTTCCCAACCTATGAGTTGTTTTACAATTTGATTTTCTAGTGAATTTTATTCATTATTTCCTTTTGGTATTAGAGTTTTGCTCAATAGTAAATGTATAGGGAAAGGTTGGGACACTTTTTTTCTTTTGCGTCCTTTGAGCCCTATAATCTGCACATTCATTTGATATTGCGGTGCCAATGCAGTAAATGTTAATGTTCAGCGACTAGAAAATTTTCTAGCGACACACATTTCACCATCAAAATGCTTTAAAAAACGTTTGTCAAGTGTCCCACTGCAGGGGCACATTTGGACACACCCTGGTACACAACGGGGAAAGTCTATCAAATTCAACGAATTATGCCCTTATATATATATCAGTGGCGGCGCGTGGTCATTTTGACAACCGGGGCAAGCTACTGCGGGACCAAGTCACCCCCATCTACGGGGACAGGATGAGCGCTGTAAGTTCTCCCATAATTTTATGAGTATAAACACCATTCCATCGGTAACAACCAATCGGCAAAAGCGACAATTTTTAACGTTAAGACAGTGTCTTTAAAACCGGTCCAAGTCAAGGGATTAATAAATATAGACATAGTTTATTTTGAAACCTCTTTCAAAAGGAAAGGCAATATTTACCAAGATAAATACAATGACATATTAACAGAAACTTCGGGAAAGCAGACAAAACCTAAAATAAGGTTTAAAACGTTACTATGAAGAAAGGAAAGGTAATGCAAAGATAAGGACATGCGTCGCTCACTCATAGATATATATGCTGCTAGACTTCTACTGCTTGAACATATATGCAACACGCCGCGGTTTCTTGGAAGCAAAATGCTCAATAACGCGCTGATTAAAGTCATGCATCCCAGAAATAACGTCTCTGTGAATGGATAAAACAGCCAAGGAATTTAATCTATCTTGCTTCATTGTGTTTCTGAGATACGTTTTAATACGCTTCAGCGTGCTGAATGTTCGCTCTGCGTCGGCGGAAGAAATAGGCGTCGTCAAAATGATGTCCAGAAATTTTGCAGACGCCGCAAAGGTAGTTACCAGAGTGTTATCTATGAGGAACCCATAGAGCGCGCAAGTTGATGTGATGTTCAAAAAAGTTTGATTGGTGTATATACATCGCAATTCATTTTCCAATTTACCCACGTTTATCATGGGGTAAAATTTGGAGACAGTAGCCAACAAATGGATGGGAAATTGACGTGCAAATTTTGAAAAATTTTTGGGGTTCATCAAAGAGAACGCGGCAAGGTGTTCAGTGCGCAGACGATCGCCTATTTGATTCACCAGAATGTCACAGCATTCCTTTGCAGACAAAATCAAACGCTGCGTTGTTTGCCCGCGGCGTGAAGAAGCACTCCATGTGTCGTCGTATTTTATTGTTTCCCGGATACGAGATACAGCATCGCAGAAGTCTGAAATACACGACTGCACAGACGCTCCATCCATTAGCCTTGACTGCAATGCGCCGTATAATACATCCACGTGATAGAATATTGTGGAGAAAAAAGCGAGAGAAAATGAAAACTCACCATCTTCTAGCAGACGCTTTAGACCTGCCGCCTCCCTCACAGAGCGTTCGTCCCAAACCGGAGAGCTCTGAATGCCATTGAAACACTCAATGAGCTCAGACCTAATTTCGGACACGCCCTGCACCACGCGTGATTGGAAGTTCCAACGTGTTGGTGCACAAGCTGGGAGACGGCGGCTACATATCTGGCGAAGGAGGTCAGAGCGCTTCGGCGAAACGGAAAAAAATGAAGAAAACCCCGAAACATTTGCAAAAAATATACGGACGAGAGGGGTATCAAGACACATATTTTTAATAACGAGGTTAAATTGGTGTGCATAACAATGTAAAAAATGCGCATGAGGAAAATCTTCTTTTATATAAACTTGAACACCATGTTTCGACCCACTCATGACTGCCGCGCCGTCATAAGTTTGAGCTATCAATTTTGACTTCGCGTTGTAAGGCTGTAACACTTCTTTCAGTACAGCCGATATCCCGCAAGCCGTGCGATCAACGATTGGTACAAAGCTGTGAAATCCCTCGGTAGATTTACCATCTCTCACAAACCGAAAAATCACAGTCAGTTGGGAAACGCACGTGATATCAGTTGTCTCGCTCGTCAGACTGAATCGAAAGGAACTGGCAATTCTCAATTTCCAGAGCCAAATGTTGTAAATAAATTTTATACATTGAGTCGAGCAAATCATTTTGGATATCCTTAGATGTCCCTTTCGAAACAGTTGCGGCATCAAGATGATCTCTCAATACTGTATCTAGGGATGCGGTGTATTCCACCATATCCAAAAATACCCCTCTATTAGAAGAGCCAGCCCGTTCATCGTGCCCACGGAGGGACAGCTCGTGACAACCAATGAACTTCAAAACATCTATCAATCGACCGAGAACATGACGGTTTTTCTCGACGTTTTGGTTGTGCCGACGAATAGAAACCGCGCGTCCTTCATCCAACTGTGCTGCAATATTAACATTTCCGAATGTTCGGTATTTTACTGCATTGTCCAGATGCTCCATAGAAGATTGATGATCCCTGGCACGCTCGGAAAGATGTTTAAGATCTCTAAAACCAAATTTACACCAACGTGAGTCACGGGCGGTAGCAAAAAGTACGCAATAAAAACAAAAAAGTGCATTTTTGTCCTCGCTGTAACACAACCATTCGTGTTTTTTATACCAAGTTTCTGCGCAGAATGTACGCCGACGCTTTCCTCCGTCATGGGATTGTTCCAGTGAACAATTTTTTGGTTGATAAGGCCCAAGACGTTGTACCTCTAATTTTTGTTCCAGCGGCAGCTGCGAAAACGGAGTGCGAAGTAGTGCATCAACCTTATTCATTATGACGTCTAAGGCTAAGAAATGCGAAGCCGGAAAGAAGTGAGGAGCTCAAAAGGAATGTGGAAAATCGTAAGCAAATGGACTAAAGGTCTCTAACTGATTCAAATAGCGAAACAAGCGACAAAAACGAAGGTGAGGAAACTATCAACTCTTCAAGCAACCAACGAACGAGAAGGAATGCGTGAATATGTCAACACGTTGTTGTAAGAAACGTCGGCATTGTGTCGTCAGAATTTCGGGGCTAGCCCCGATGATTTAGTAAAAGAAACAGAAAACAAACGAGACAAACGCGGCGAGTGGAAGATAAAAGAGAGAATACGATATACAATGAGCAACCGGGGCAAAATCGGCGTCGCCCCGTCGACGTTCGGCGAAGGCTTTGCGAGCGAAAAATGAACCATGTCGGGAGAATATGGCTAGTGTAGACAGTCTGTGCAACCGATATTGAGGTATTTTTCGAATATTTTTTATTATACCGAAAAAACAACCGGGGCATTGCCCTGGTTGGCCCTATTGACGCGCCGCCACTGGAGAATAATCCAATTTCCATGAGTTCAATTGTCTTGAATGCATCTGAGATTGGTTGAATACAGCTGCATTAGAGTGGATATATTGACTTTCCAAATTTAAATCATTTATATCAGAGTTTTTTTACTCCGTTGTTATTGTCGCAATTGTCCCACACTTGTCCTGATTTTTTCACACGTTTTTTGCTTGCACTTGAGATTTTGTCCCCATTTGACTCACTTTCATCACACTTGTATTGCTTGTCTCAAACTCCTTCTGTTTGTCTTACACTTCTCGCACTTGTCCTGCTCGTCTCACACTTTTCTTGTTTGTCCCCCACTTTTCCGGACTGTGCCATTGGGGTGTCCTTAACTATCATTTATTCAAATGTTTATCAGGAAGTCACAAATACCGTCCCCATAGGCTATAGTCTACTCTACCTACCCGACTTCAACTCATCTTTTGAAAATCCTGTAATTGCTGTTCAGAAAAACCTAATTATCTGAGTTTTCGTGATAGAGAATAGACGGAAAGCTACGCAGTAAACGCGGATGTTCACGAAGTTTGGCGAATGTGGCCCCAGATCAGGTACCACAGTCTATCGTTTTCCTATGAAAAACTTTCCACTTTCGCTAAGCACGAATTCCGCCGACGTTCGCTGAGTACGAGATCCGTTGATATGGTTCGCTGAACCACCACAAGTTGCTCAAATATCGATGACGTCCCAATTCTATGATTTTTGAATATTGGTTTCTATTTATTCTACATTTTTAAAAAACAAGTCATCGAAATCTAATGTCATCGGCCTAGCCCGTGCACTAACTTACTTGAATCTGCTTTACAAATGTTTGCTCTACACTAGAGGGCACAGCTTCGTAGCCATAGCAACAATTATCAACTGTGTAGAATTTCTGCAATTCTGTATGTCGCAATTTCGTGATTTTCTGCTAGCTTCACAGAATACAGAGCTCCGGGGTACTGAAGGTTTCTTTCATTACCAACTGACCAAGGCATTTAGATTAGTACAGACATTTGGATCAGTACCAGGGTAAATCTTATATACTTAGTCATGGGGACACGTTACGGAGGTGTGAAACTCCGTGTACCGGAAAAATTTCCAATTTTGTTGCAACATTTCGCACGGGAAGTGTTGCGTGAACAGCCACAAGATATCGCAAAATTCGGAGCTGAATACTTCAGACGACTTGAATATGAAAGACAGAGTAAGTATATAACGACTAACTTTATAGTGAATATTTCTCAGTTCTCTATTTTGCTAGCTAGGCTATGTTCGCTGAACACTGGACTAATGAACAAGAAAATAAATTTGGCTACGGCATGCAGTGTGCTTATGTTAAGAATCAGGAATATCTGATTATGCTTGCTATCGCATCTTTGATTAGCTTGCGTGAGTGGTATCAAATGGGGGATAATTAGTGGTATGTGAGAAAAGTATAACATTAGTTGTAGTTTATAGTGTAATGAATGAGAAATATAGTACCTTGATATAAGGCTTTATTCAACATAAATTTAAAGCACTCATAGAATGAATCTAAAGTAAAATATAACACAAGTAAATGTTATTAAACAAGAAAACAAATATGTATCGAATTGCTGATGCTAACAGTAAGCGGCTCAATAGTTAACTGAATAAAGTTGAAAGAATTAACACACTACATCTACAGCAATGATTGGTGTCTGATTTAAAACACCACAGCAATCATCGCTTGACTGCAGCTGTATAAACAAATAGATACATTAAGTTGCATTTCCAAGTTATCACATATAGCAGGGCTACTCAACTATTTTTACCGAAGATCCGCACACAAAATTTCGAAATTATTTGGGTCTGGTCTTTCCAGAAATTATATTTTGATGATCGTTAGCTAATCAAGATTGTTTATTATGGCGGTATAGTTCTTTTAATATATATTCAAAACTATAAAAGTGATTTTAAAAAAGAATAAAGAATTAGGTGCGGTCCGAATAAAAGGTCCAAATTGGGACCGCGGTCCGCCAATTAAGTAGCTCTGGTATAGTATAGCTAATGCATGAATTCAATATGACCAAAAACTATTAACAAGTAACTAACTAATCCCATACCCGACATGGAATGGTAACCAGACGAGAGGCCGTGGTTCGCCATATAATTAAGCCGTCATCATCGACTTTCCTCTCTCCCAGGATGAATATGTAAATCCTATCCTATTCACATTCAAATTTTTGTTATGGGGAGAACCTATTCTAACCCTATTTGGGTCTATTGAGTCCAAAGATATAGTAAGCGAAAAATATAGTTAAAAAAGTTCACTGAATCCGGATACTAACCCTCTTAATCTTAAAATACACCAATTATCCAATGCTTTTTTGGTTTAAATCAGAAACAGGTGAAGATCCACTGAAATCATATTTGCATGATAGACCAGGTTTTAAGGTGAGATCATTATCATACTTTTTCATTTTTATAAATGCCCATTTTTATTTGTCATTTATATTGATTGCTTGGAATTGTCATTCTACCAGGAGTCATTGACTATGCCAAACAGGCTCTACCATGCCTTAGTATTACTGTGAATAAATGGATTCATGTACAGAATATTTTCAAATTAAACAAGAAATCTATGTATCAAGAATGCTTTGGAACCAGTGGCTATGATCATCTTCATCTACACTTCCTTGAATTCTGATACTTATATATAATAATTATTTACTAAGGTCACCAGCGGTAAAGTTTTACGTCCGATAAGTTCTGAAGTTAGACAGAAGGAGATTGAGCAAGAGAAGGCTGCAACTAAAATACAGGCTGGATACAAAGGATATCGTATTAGGAAGAATTTGAACCGAGATCGGTAAATAAATAGGCATAAGTTGTGTGATGGCGCTGGAGGAAAACTCAAATCTCACCACTATAAAGTCTAATTATTATTTTTCTTTAAAAATCCCACTGGCAACAACATCAATAATAATCAACAATCATCAGTCAGGATGTTCTGTCAAATACTGAGTTTTGCTAATTTTTTGGTCCTCTTAATTTGAGAACAAAACTATCTGTATTCCAAAAACTATCTACAAAAACAAAACTATCTGTTTCCCATCTGGCTATCCAAATGTTTCTAATATTTCTGATCGTATCATAAAATGTATTATTTATCATTTAGTCAAGTCAAGCAAAAAGAAGACTTAGCAGCAACAAAAATTCAAGCTCACTACAGGGGATATTCAACTCGGAAAAGTTTAAATACCGGTTGTGGGGAAAGGCCACCCATCCAAGACATATCAGAAGAAAAATCGGAAAAATTAGATAACGAAACACAACCATATGTTAGTTTTATCTTATATTTCTGTTTTCAACTAGCATGAAAAAATAATCATCCTTGCATCAATGGAGTGAAAGGCCAGGTTAATTTATTAGTAACATAAATATTTTGTTTTTATACAGGGTGATCAACATGAAAAAGCAGCTGTTCGTATTCAAGCCAAGTATCGTGGATATCAAACAAGAAAATCGTTGCAGCAGAAAAAAAAGGAATTCCAAGTAAGATTATTCAGGTGTTGTCTGCAAATCTTCAGATAAGTATTTATAGGTGTAGGTGATGCTGCTCGATAACCATTACTGGTTTATCGCGTCTTCCTTCACACTAAAATGCATTTTTTTTTCTTTTTTTACTTTATCCTATTTGTATAATGTGTATTTTCGGCATGTGTGAAAATAAACTACTGATACTGACTTTATCCAGACAAAATTAGTGAGGTGTTCACGGTGTTGAATTAAGGTTGATTCTCGGAACAATGAACAATTTTGAAGCATATGTGATACACACATTTTCATATACTGAGGTTTACATTTCCCTCAAATCCTCAGAAATACAGATTGATCTTCCATTCCAACGAAATTAGGGTGGTTGTCAAAAGCATATCACAATCGTGAAATGTTGAAAGTAATGAGCAAGTGATATATTGAATTATTCATTTTATTAAGGAACAATCAATAATTGATACAAGTGATCCTGAAATGCAAGCAACTGCAGATCAAATAGAAAAAGAAGATGAAATAGAACATGGAGTATCTCACGATGTTAGTATTTCTAATATATATTATCTCAAATGCCGAAAGTTTGAGGCTGTACTATTTTTAGTGCGCTAAGAGATATTAGGAAGTATCTATAAGATATGGTGTGCAAAAATAAAATATTTATTGAAAGACCTAGTAAATCTAACGATAATTGATATTCTATGGAGCAAGTCACCCATTCGTACTCAAGCAACATTAAAACATTTAATTTAGGCTATGCATCCATGAATATCTTTACTTTAATTTCTTCATGCATCTAAAATTGTATAAATCGCAATGTGAGTTTTTCCAATTTTCGATACTAGAAAAGTTGTTTTCTTCACTGTGTCATTGAAAGGTTTTATGATGCTTAATTTTGAAAGTGTTTTACTGTTTCCCTCATAAATACTAGTCTACCATTCTAAAATCGCCTTTAGTCAAACCATGCAATTAAAACAAATCCAAAGACAGAGTCACAGCTGAGGTATTAGATTCATATCTAAATTACAATTATATGACAAAGAACTCACAAATGAAATTTTTTGATTCCAGATTTACGAGCGCCTAAATTATCTGTCTGATTAATGAAAAACTTGAGCGACTGATTAAATTCAAATTGCTATGTTACCGTTATGCAATTGCTGATTGGCTATTGTTATGAAAATGAAAATGGAACCTGATGCTTGAAAAAACATCCATTTTTACTTTAATGTTCATGATGATTAGGTGTCTCAAACATACATGTACATCACGTCTCTATATTGGACTTGATAACTTTTTTACACAAATTAATTTTTGAATAATGTTACATTCAAGTTTTATAATGAGTTATTTTTTTCAGGTCTACTGTCTTTTTATGATAGAAAATTTACAGGGTAATTATATGTGCACCACCATTATGTGACCATGTTTGCAGTCCTTATTAATGAAAGTTTTATTTGGAGATTTCGTTTCATTTATAACATTTGCCACCACTTATTGCATTGACCCACTTTGAAGTTTAAAGTCCTTTTGCATGAATTATGTTGTATGAGATTATGTATTATGTGTGAAAATATTCAAGTTTAATAAACACCTATCATGTCAATATTAGAAACTGTTCATCCATGACCTAGGCATCAACTCATTATTCATGTACCCATCCTCTGTGTGGATAGTTGGATTGTAGCATTGTGGCCTGTTGACATATACTTTTGTAAAATTGAGTTTACACTAATTGATTGTTGTTATCATGATTTTTTTGCAGTGGTTTTGATTCCTTGAATTACCTTTTTGTTGAATTTAGTTTCACTATACTTAAATATCTAGACCAGGGTGGTCGAAGGTTGTCGACCTCACGGGCCACACTATTATTTTTGTATTGTTCGCGGGCCACAATAGTGCCAAGAATATGTAAACAGTGCAATACAAAACAAACACTTTTATTGTCAAATACATTGATCATTATTTGACTTTTTTTTTAAGCTAAAGCATGCAAAAACCACAAAAAAAACTCACTAAGACGTGCAAAAATCTTACTATATCTACATTTAGTGTAAGATTTCAAACTTTTCATAACGGAGAAAGTGTCATAAGGAGAAACTGCCGTATTAGATTGTCACCAACACAACTTTCGGAGATATCAAGCAAGCATTGTGGTATTTTCCCTCCCACACCCAGTCAAAGATATATTTAAATTAGTCAGCTTTATTTTCAAACTCATGTTTACAAAATACCTTACAAGTAACTGCAGATTGATTGATTACCGAGTTTTACCAAATTTGAGATACAGGAGGGTAATTACTAAATTTTCTGACATATATGCAGCCTTTTTTGTAATACTGTTTAGGCTGGTTACAAAAAAACACCCGGCGGGAATTGTATTGGCCATAACATTAATATTTAGTTATCAGGCATAGCCAACCTAGGCTAATAGATTCCTCATTCGTTTTTAGTTTTCTATGAAGCCTATTTTGTTAGCATATATTCCCGACCAAAAAGATGAAAAGCCAGATAAAAATGTATACTGCCAAGCACATCATTCAACTTTGCTAGTTGCCTCAGTTAGCCAAAACACTAGTCAATTCAGTGAAATTAGTGATGTCACAATATTTCAAAAAAATTTCTGGTTATTTTTTTTATGACGAAACAACACCAAATGCGATTTTTTGTTTACCTTTGCGCAAGTGCGACGCGGGCCACAGATAATGAAGCAGCGGGCCACATGTGGCCCCAGGGCCTGCGTTTGGACCACCCTGATCTAGACAATGCTACTTTGTAATTTAGAATTATAAAATTTGTGTGCTTCTGAATCGTGTTCATTTAGCTATATAATTCAAATAATAAAAAAATGTGCAATTCTTTTTTAAAGAACTCAGAAAGTGGTTTGTAGAACATTAATTTGTCCTTTAGTTGTTATTGGCCATGTTTTGCTTTTCTTCTATTAACTACCAAACTGGATGATCCCAACAGTTTGTATGCAATTTTGTTATTTTTGAGTTATTGACAAAAATGTTGATATTCATCCACAGTTATGGCATAGTAAAAAACATGTACAAATTAGCCAGTGGGTGTTATTTGTCAACAATTCATAGAAAAAGGCTTGCGTATACCATAGTTTTTCTTATCAAAATTTGACTTCCTTGGGAGTTAGGAGCTGGAGGCTTTGTTTTCTCAAGTCGGAAATCAGAGCCAATATTTATTTTGAACTGAATGAGTCCGACCCATGGGATTTTGGAAGTTTACTATTTCTCACGTACATACACTATATTCTTTGAAATCAAAATATTTTGTTTGTCAGGTTGGGAAAGAGACTGGTGATCATGAGAATAATGATTTACAGGTGAATTTCAATATTTGTCATTGGTTGGGATCTCATTCCTGAATTCTAGTATCCTTGCACTACTTATTATGACAGGACATAATTTGATATATAATGCTGGAAAGTGGTAAATCTTCATTTCCACAGCACATCTTTATATAACTTCCCAATATTCTTGATTCGCCGAAATAAAAACTTAGCCACTCTTACTACCTCATAATGATTTTATTTGATATAATCCTCATCAAACTCCTAATAGTTTGTTAAATAACCGGTCATGAATTTTTAAAATTCATCATCGCATAAATTATTCTGAATATTACTTGGTGACTTAATTATACATTCCATTCTGGGGTAGGCATGCTGCAAGAAGATCTTACGAATGTTTCCGTTATACTTTAAATTTCATTCACAGGATAATAAAGTCGAAATGGAAGAGGCCGTTGCTGAAATTGGTGAAGTTATCGGGGAACATGATCCTCTTCAGGAAGAGGTAAATTTGTGTTATAGTTGTACAGCAAATATAATTCAACTTTATGATAAAGTTGATTCAAGTCAGGATTTTATTTTGTCATCATTTTGTGCATCAATTTATCAATTATTTGAAAGAATCAACTGGAGGACCAAGCCGATGATGTACAGGAAGTGAATGCCGTGGGGGACAATAGTTCACCTACAGGCAATCATGAACATGCAGCTGCAACTAAAATTCAAGCGCAATATCGAGGATATCGAACCAGGAAACAACAGAAGAACAGACCTGCAGCTGCAACTAAAATTCAAGCAAATTATCGAGGATATCGAGCGAGGAAACAACTAAAAAACAAATCTAGTTGGTATGGTCGAGATGTTTACTTAGCGAGATATCTAATAAATTTTACCTTCACAATGACTTTGTCGTTTGGCAAATATAAAGAGATTATATCTTGACCTCTCTGTGCGAACATAAATACTATTATCTTTAAATGGAGATTTATTGCTAAATATTAGGGCATTTTTAATTTGGAGAAGACAATATACCTGTTAAGATGGCTTAGTGTATTAGTTAACCATGGCCTCATTAGGTCACAGAGGTTATCATTTTGCTGAAATATCTGGCAGAGTTTTGAACTGAATTAGATTAGGATACTAGAATTCCTCTTTCTCAAGGTGATTGACTCGATCTGTGATCAATGATTAGCAGTCTTCTTCTCTGAGATGAATATGAAAATTCTATCCCAATTAATGAGACCCCACATAATTTTGTGTTTAGCTTTTTGTTAGATAAATTATATTTAGCAGGAGAACTTTTGGCCTGAATATAAATATTTTCTTAAACACGGACTGGAATAATTATCCAATTTGATTCAGATTCTTGACTTAACTTTCAGATGAGTTTGTTCCAATCCTAAAAAATTCTCTCAAAAATATATTAAAGGTGGACTATAAATTCTTTGCTAAAAAATTCCCATCTCTCAAACCCGTTTATCCCTCTTTAGATAAGTTTTCCGGAGAGAAGAAATGGATGGCAAATGCAAAGGATGATGTAGTGGAGAAAACTTTTTTGCCCATTGGTGACAAAGCAGTTTACATCTATTTTCTTTTGTAAATTTCACTTAGTAAATTTGGACTAAACCAAAGACAATTTATGAGAATTCGTACTAGTGGTATCATAGTTTACATATGGTGGTATGGTATGCTTTTCCATTTTTATTGTTTATATCACTTTATGACCATTTTGTACATTTCAAAGCCTTAATATATGTATCTCGTATTTATCAGGAATCATGAAGAAATTTTTACTTATTGTTGATGGTAGTGTTCATAGAGGTGACTCAAGTAATTATTATGTTTTTTTTTCAGTTTATTTATCAAAATGAAATAATAATTGGCCATAAAGGTTTTATATGTAAACATGTAAGTAGTTGATTACAATAGTTTCTAAAATAAAATATATGAAAATCGGATAGCCACTGCTTTGTCTTTCAATGAATAATATTACGATAATAATCGTATATTTAAAAATACAGTGATAGTATTTAAGCCATTAGAACTTGGATTCTGATGGTAACTAAAAACAAAACATCAATGTATTTATTTATGATGTATTTATCGCCAGGACTCCAGTTTTAAAAGACCTAACCAATAAATTTTAGCTATTGGAAAATTTGAATAAAAAACCCACACATCAAATACGCTGAGCTTGAATTGAACCATGTCATTCTTGGTGAACAGACCCTTCATTTTGTCATTGTTATATTTCATTGTTTTGGGTCGGGGTTGGCAAACTTTTGCCCTCAAATAAATTCCTTTGTGATGCTTGAACGAATGTTAAAAGCAGGGGTCTCCAACTCAAAATATGTTGCGGGCCACTTTTTGAAATTTATTGAGGACTCGGGCCACAATCTAACAAATTATATACAAAATTGTTATACAAAAATTAACAAAGTAAATCTGAATATATTTGTTGAAATTACCCTTGAATCTTACACCAATCGAGACATGAAACATATTCGTTTACTTGTGTTGGTGATTTGGCACCGTTTTGTAGCGGCGAGAGACTCGATGTTTGGCCTTATTTTGCGTTGGTTTGCTGGTCTTTCGACGGCATACAAACTCTCGTCCGTTATGCTCGTGTGCGAGAGGCTGATTTGTTAATCTCATTGTTAAAAAATTATTTCACAAGCCTTCAACATACACTCTTTAGTAAAGCTTTCCTCAACGAAAGGACGCGACGAGTTCGCAATCATCTCACTTATGGCAAAGCTTGCTTTCATCAAATCTTCACAAGTTTTGTTTATGTCTGAGAAAAATTTCTCTGTTTCATCAGTGAAAATTTTATTTGCGATACCTTTTCGTGACGAATTATTTCAGTATAAACATGGTATTTTACCCTGTGTAATGATCCATAAGTTTATAATAATCTAGTTTTGCGTTAATTGCACATATGATTTATAATCAACTAATGATTCACAACTAAGGATGCTAAGTATGACTTCTTACGAGTAGTCGATTCTTATCCGATTCCCAAATTTTCGATTCTCGATTCCGAATATTGATTCCACAACATATTACCGAGAAAACATACCCACCTAAGTAATACCATATAAAATCAACCAAGAGGGCGATGTTCAAATATCTGGACGGACAAGAAGCCAAAACAAAGTAGGATGGGTATCCAATCTGTCACAAGAGACAAAATCGCACAAAAAACAATCCCTCAGAACTCCTAGCTGACATCATACTAATTTAGTTTTTTTCTGGAAAAATCTCAACCACGACGCGGGCCGCAAAAAATGCTTCGAGGCCCGCGTGTTGGAGACCCTTGGTTTTAAGCAGAAATTGTTCTATTGTTATCTGTGTGCGGAATTATGTGGTAACAATGGCAGTAAATAGTGCAAGCACATGTCAGTGCGGAAGTGTAAAATTTGCCATTAAAATGGCTGGGGGAATGTAGTCAAGTTGGCGGGGGTCGAATGCTCTGAAGTACTTTGACGAAAAATTATTTTTGCGTCGGGCATTATCCAAAGCCTATGCATGGTAGGATAGGATAGGATTTACGTATTTATCCCGGGGGAGAGGAAAGCCGATAAGACGGCTTATCCATATGGCGAACCACGGCCTCTCGTCCGGTTACCATTCCAAGTCGGGTATGGGATTAGTTTTACTGTATTGTTTGTTTTCGGAAGCATGGACTTGGTGGTGGAGGAAGCCGTAACTGACCAGCGGTTACGTGAACCAAACTAGCATCGCAGCTATGTAATGCAGATATAATCAACAAAGTTCACATCGATTATATGTAAATAAAACAAAAGTATATTTTTGGTAATAAATGAGAAACGGCCACATACACGTCTCATTGTGATAATCGTTTCACACAGTAATTTGAGTCGCGGGTGCGTCATCTTAAGTTTGATGTGGCGATTTATGGACGAAAATTTACGCGTATGTATATTTGGTAAGTTTGTCGACCACTGTCTTTTTTTAGCCTAGACCAGAGAGGTGCAACGTGGGGCCGCTGTCGCTGAACCTATGTACCTGACCCGCGAAAGACTCGGTAGCGGTGTCATATGTAACTACGTCAGACTGGGATGACAATCGGTGTGACTGGGTTACCCCGAACGTAGTGTGTGTACCAGGTTGGGGTTGGGCCATAATTTCATTCCGATTTTCCTTATTTTAGTTTTATTATATATGAATTCGGGCACTATCTGTGCCAGTTAAGTGAATATACCCCCTTTACACAACTTGATATAAAGTAGGCAAACAATATTAGTAATCTTCAGATTGGTATACACACTTCTGGAGCGCCGTACAACGTGATATAAAAAGTTAAATGTCCACCAGTAAAAAGTAAGGTCGGTTCTGAATGGCGAAATTTTGGCAATAGTTGGTGAAAAATAGTGGCTTAACAAGAAGCGAATTCAAACCTAACTTTTTGTCAAATATTAGATGAAAAGAAAGTCATTGTTACGAACATCAAAGATAATTTGTGACGGTCCGATCTGTATTTTTCTATTATTATAGCAAGTAAATTAGGACATCAATCCCATAAGGACAGTCGAATCGATGGTTTGTTGACCACTCGGATTTCGAAAAAATCTGAACAGTACCGAATATGCGCATAAATCTTTTGATTTGGAAGTTGAATATTGTTTGTCTGGGGAAGTCTGACCGTGGTCAGATGAAAACGTTCCAGAAATATAATCGTGTTAGTGTGCTGTAACACTATTGAATCACTCTGATTATCGTGGAGTTGGCGACTTCTCACTTTGCCATGTCATACACGCATGTGCAGAAAAAATACAAATGAAAGGTGCCTCAAAATATCGTGCGCCACTTGTATCATTTACCATTTCATCACAATTGTTCCATTTTCTTCAACCAAGCCCAGTTCTGATCCCAACAAATTTATGGAAAATATGTCAATGATTGGGACGAATAGAAGAAAATCATGATAATCTAATAAAACATAGCGATATTATTTTAGCCTTTCCCACTATCGTATAATCTTGGGTCTTCAATGAAAGCAGGCTGAAATTATTGAGAAAGTAGTTTTCATATAAATGGAAAACGTAGATCCCAAAACTTGAATTTGCTATTCTTGATCTCTGATTAGACTCCAGACAAAACTGTACCCGCCGCGTGTGTAATGGTGATTTTCACTGAATTAGTCTGGGACGTGTTCTCTATCAATGGCCAAATGATACTTCTTACAATAAAACGGATAATATCACTGTTAGCATTCAAAACAAAATGGCAAGTTTTGCTGGCTAGAGTGCGAGGTCAATTTTTAAATTTGAAAATAAAATTTTCATTGGCCTAGTTGTACATAGTGTTACCGACTATATATTTACTGTTTTTGACGGTCAATAACCATTCAAATTAGAAATGTTTTTCTATGAATGCGTTTTCTAGTTCAACTGCGGCCGACTTTACGGGCGGTGGAAGACAATTCTGGAGCTACAGCCAAAAAGTGAGGGGAAGACAACCTTAAGTGTTAACTGTGGAATTACAAAGCATGATTATTTCTGAGAGCAACTTTTTTCTGAGACCTAATATATCATCTGACGCACTAGATTTATGAATGGCATCTTCTTGTATTATAAATTGAATGTAAAAAATATGATAAAACAAGATCTTGGTTTTGCCGCAGTTTCGAAAGTCCCTTGGCAAGGTTTATTGAATGTTTTCAATTTTCAAGACATAAAACCACCATCATATTTGACATGATTATCTCCGTCGGTAAGCACGAGAAATTCTCCAAGAATTTGGTTCTTCATATCGATTGTAAAGTGGTTCCAGTCTTAGCTGTTTCTTCTGTTTACTCAATCTTGTAGGATCACCCATACGAAAGAATTTGGGAGCAAATTCAACCAACCATTTTGGATCTATGTTCGTAACTTCACGCATGTATTCTTTTGTGGTTAAAACAAGTTCATGATATATTACCCTGTGATAAAAAGAAATATTTCAAAGCTACAACTAGTTCAGAGCAGTGGTCAATTGTGAATTGGGCAATTTTGAGAATATAGTACCATATTGTCGCAAATGAAAGTTTTTCCATGTGGTTATAAAATATCATTGAATACATGATAAACGCCCTGCAGTAACCTAGTGCTGGAAATTATTATGCGTCCTGATTCTTGAAATTGAAATCAAGAGGTAAATAGCTATTATGTCAAAATTCAAAAAATATATTTTCGCAAGGGACGTTTTTTTTTCATTCAAAAAATGAATATCTGCTGTCATAATAAAAAACACTTTTGTTGAAGCATTACACATGCATACATACATATAGCAACACATAATGATACTGTGTACATAGGCTAAATAATTTGTAAATAATATAAAATAAGACAAATATCAACGATACATCATATTGTGAAATAAGAATAAATGATACCTACCATTCGGGTTGCCTGTTGAAAAGTGAACTGCTTGGATGAATATAAACAACCTGCTGATCAACAAGGGTTCGATAACCTTCCTGAGGATCTTTCTTGGCAGAATTTCGGAAATATCCACTACATATTGCTTTCTGCACTTTGGCAGTATTTTTCCCGCATGTTACAACATCAAGTTTGTGTCTGTTATTTAAAAGTTACATTTTAGGTAAAAAATTGGAAGTGCAATATAATCACCGCTCCACCAAACGTTGTGAAATATAAACTTGGTTGAACTTTGGGGAGAAATTGAAAAAAAGAATGGAATGATAAATCTTTATACCTTCAATACATTATACATTGCTCTTTTCTGCATGGTATTTCCAATAAAATAAACATTTTATGTACTCTGCATCAGTGGACACTTAATATCATTGGGATAACCAATAGAGCGCCTCTGATGGTAATTGCTTAGTATCAAGCTTTTATAATTATGACACAATATGCCAAATGAATATTTTGCTAAATATACCACCCAAAAACCTATTCAGAACTTATATATTTATTTTCACAAAAGCACGATGACAATACCTGTCCATTATTCCAAGCATTTGTTTTCTGACATCTTGAGCTCTTCTTAGAGTTCTTGCTTGAACAAAATTTTCATAACACCACGGGTTACTAAATTTATTGCTTTTCCATGAATTATACACGGCTAGTAGGGTTAAATGATCTCCTTCATTTTGATGGAACTTCGCTTTCTTTTGATCAGCTAAAGCTTGTTTTTCCTAAAAGTAAGCAGTGTGACATGACCAGAATGTACACAAGACATGGATGACAGTGCGAATTACCGTGGATGACAGTGCGAATTACCGCATTTTTGTGATAGTTCATTCAGATTATATTTGAATATGTTGAAAATAAGATTCTCACCTTTGGTCGATAAAATACATTTTGTACAGATAACATTGATACGATTGTTAATATTTCATCACTGCATCCAAGATGAACAGACATTATCAACATTTTACACAACATCGGCTCCAGGGGGAATTCAGCCATCTGAACATTAGAAGATGAGTTTATGTCATAAAATGTTAACAAAACAGAGCTTTGTAAGTGCCGATTGTCATAAGGTCCAGACATCTGAAAAATCGCGCTGCAGCTCCCATGTATTGATTCTGGCTATTTTTCAAAAACCAAGGTATAGAGAAATGCGTAACTATGGTAATTACAACTAGGATTTCGGTTTCGTATGGACTCCAAATAGAATTGGCCTTGTAGCATTTTTGAGCGTTGGTACTTTTTTCAGTAGAATCATTCTAGCCCCAGAAGAACACATAAATGTCGACAATACTGAACTAACCACTCACACATATTTTTATTAGATGGCTAATTTGGTGTCCTACCTGTAATAATGAGTGACAATTGAAGAAAGAGGAGAAAAGAAAACCTACCCTTCGTCCCAATCTTGTAAGGAGGCCTTCATCATCTAAAGCGCTGAGATGGTACAACTGTTCCATAGCAGTAACTAACGTCTCCATAGGTGGGGGATCCATAAAATCAAATGAAAGCAGATCATTGATACCCATTGCTTTGAGTGACAATACCGTAGATGCTAAATTAGTTCGCTGAATTTCAGGAACTGCTGTGGTTAACATTTCGTCCCTAATAAAAGTATAAGACAACTTAAGTTCGGTGCTGATGCCTATTCGCCACACATTTCTTATATTAAGTAAAAAACTTCTTAAACCAAATGAATACTTACAAAATAGCGGAATCTCAATGGCAATCACTAGAGGCAAGTCTGGGTGGAGAAAATAGAGATTTGCCATTTGATGTGCTGATGGCAAAGCATTTGGATAATATCAGACTTCATAATTATATGTCAAAATATGAATTAGCCTCCTTATACATTTCATTCATATGTTTGCATGCTAGCAGTACAGTAGCAACAAGCCAACAACACGAATAATATCATGTTCAACCATGGTATCCTGTTTCCAGTCCAGGATATAATAGGCAGGTTAAATGTTATAGATGCATAAATTTGGATAGTATAGGGATTTGTAACTGATCAACCATAAATTCGGGAAAATCAACCTACCTGTATGCTCGTTCTGTGTATAATCTGTAACATTTTCCTGGCCCAGTACGTCCTGCACGACCAGCCCTTTGTTTCGCTTGTGCTTGCGAAATAGGAGTCACAACAAGTTGATCTATTCCATTTTTTGAATTATACACTTTCTGCTTGACAAATCCAGGATCAACTACATAATATATCCCATCAATTGTAAGTGATGTCTCAGCAATGTTTGTTGCTATTACAACCTGACCATGAAAACAAGCATTTTTTCAATGAAGGTTCGCCGATGCGAAACACCCATATGATGGTGCCTAGAATATAAAATCAAAAACATATAGAAAATACCTTTCTGCTTCCTGGTGGTGCAGGGTCAAAAATTCTGGTTTGCATTTCAGAAGGTAGAGCAGAATAAACCGGTAATATAATGAGTTCTGGAACCTCTGGGCCAAGTGATTTCATTCTGGCAAATAGTATTTCACAGGCAGTGTCGATCTCTTCTTGGCCTACAGCAAGAAAAGGAGTTGACTAATATTGCATGGCGAATCATAGACAGTAAAAAATTAATAAGACTTCACATACCAGTTAAGAATAACAAAATGTCACCAGGTGGTTCAGTAAGATGTATTTGCATAACGGTTATCATAGAAGCATCCATGTAATCAGTCTCTGGTTCTTTTGTATACAATATTTCAACAGGAAATGTTCTTCCTGGAATCGTAAAAATGGGAGCTTCGAAGAAATACTGGAAAATAAAGCAAAGATTAATATAAATAAGGTATGATATCTGTTGCATTATGAAATAAATTTCTTAGTCTGTCTTTTCGGCAATAATGAGAAATAACTCTTGCTACCTGTGAAAATTTGACGGCATCTAGCGTTGCTGATGTAACGATGAGTTTCATGTCTTTCCGTTTCTGTACAGTTTTCTTCAGCAAACCAAATAAAACATCAGTGTGTATTGTACGTTCATGGGCTTCATCCAACATGAGAACAGCATACTAAAAATTGATAGATATAGTGTGATAGATACAGGTCTTCTTTTCAAAGAATAGGAACCATATCCCAGATACAGGAAAATTGACAATACATTAAGATGATGTCATCGCATTGATTTTAATTTATTCAAATTGAATTCAGATTAAAAATGAAAAATTAGTCTTAGATTTCTCTAAATTACAAGAGAATTCTCAGTGACCAATGATGAAGTTCAGCCAACCAATTTTCAACCGAGATCAACTGAAATCTTTGCAATACAATGCGGTCGACACTGATTTATAATAAATTCACACACAATAATTACTGATTACTAACAGTTCTTGGCTTTTTAAGTATTAATCGAAATTAAAATGGATGTTGCGACATTGGTGCTACTGTTGGAAACAAGATTTATAGCACTCCAGGGTAAACCAAATTTTTATGATGCAGAAGAAATTAGGACAAAGTGGGATATCGATATAAGTACTGTTCGCTGCTCAACACATCTCACTGGGTCTGTTCGTTTTTAAACTTTGACAGCAACAAATGTGTATTCGTTATGTTTTAATGTGCTTCATCAGGCTTGTCCCCAGACATATATTGTCTTTTGGGCAAGTTCAGTACTTATTCCTCTTTTTTAGAACACATCAGTCGCTGCGTGAATTATAGTTGAAGACAATTTTTTTAGCATGTTGTTAATACAGTTTACTCGAAATCAATAAACTTGACACAACGTGTGGCGATCGATGTGTTGGCCACCCTGCTATACAGCCAAAACCTATGCAGCACTTTTTAAACATTTTTCTCAACATTTCATCAAATTGAAAAATTTACTTCCGGATAAAAATATAGATGGTTCAGTACCTGTTTTAAATCTGAATCAATCAAGCATTCTCTCAACAACATACCATCAGTCATGTATTTAATGACAGTTTCCTGACTTGTGCAATCTTCAAATCGAATCGTGTAGCTAAAAGACAACCAAACATTATTTCGCTGCATTCACAGAGCAAGGGTTATATTGTATTGATCCCAAATAAAATTTAATATTGCATCCAAGTAAACCAAACTTGGATAGAAAATTGGGCCCATTATTTAGAATCAGGGTTAGTAAATTCATCAGGCTTGTTACTAATTGAAAATCTTACCCAACTTCCTGGCCAAGTCGACAGCCAAATTCTTCAGAAACTCTTTTTGCTACAGACATTGCAGCAACTCGACGAGGTTGAGTGCATCCGATTTTACCTCTTAATGTGTAACCGGCTTCAGCAATATATTGAGTAATCTGAGTAGTTTTCCCAGATCCTGTGTTGTAAAATATTGTGAAAATGATAAGCAAAGCTTCAACGATAAGCTCATCATTACATTGCTGGCTAGAAACTTGTTTAGGAATAATACATGGGATGATTGCTGGTATCCTCGACATCACTGGTTCACATAGTTGTTGTTCTATTTAAGCTCACCAACTACGCTCTTGAATGATTCCAACTCAACTACCCAATAACTGCCATATTTGCTATCATCTCATTTTTGAGATACATATGAAAAGTCTTCCTTATAATACATAAAACTCTCTCAGACTTGGATACTCGACATGGAATGGTAACCGGACGAGAGGCCGAGAAATATGTAAATCCTAAATGTTATAAACTGTTTAGGGCATCAGAGATACTAAAGGTTAGACATTATTTATTTTTAAATTATATAATGCATTCCATTCATGCATTTCTTGAATTTTTAAAAATACATTTGTTATAAGTAAACCTCACCTGTCTCTCCAATCACAATTAAAATTTGATTATCATGAACAGCTTGTACCAACTGTTCTTTAAGTTTATAAATTGGAAGACCTTGACGTTGTTCTATAATCGACAACTCCGTTTTTCGGCCATATGATGCCTAAAGAAACAAAAAGAAATTATATTTCATAATATCAGGCCTGGCCATTAAGACACCTTAGACAGAGAATTACTAGTGCAGTTTTTTGTTGAAAGCGAGGCGTGCATGAATATTTGATATAAAAATTAGAATGTTTGCCGCATGTTTACCCAACCCCAAAAACTCTGGTTTGGAGAACTCTGCAACCTAAAAAACCTGGGCTGTAACTTGTAAGTGCAATAGAAAGTTGTACTACTTGTAAATTTCTACCGGGCGTACAAAAATTTGTTCACATGTTGTGAAGGTAACATTCAGCACCAAGAACCAATGTATGTTGTCCTGGTATTTTTCAGGTAAAAAAATAATAAATTGGGATGGTGATAAGACCCTGCAAGTTGGGACTGGTTGAAACAGGAAGAATATGCTTTACTTGCTTCTTATCTCGAAAGCATCTTCAATAATTGATATAATTTATGCAGTAAAATAGGGTACAAAATTGACGCATTTCCTGATATAATAAGAAACTATACTAACGCTTCATTTCGGAAGGAAACAAAACCCGCAAAAACTTGGGTATGAGATTACAAAAATCGGGTTTCAGAATAATAGACCAGAAACAAACTTGAGAACAATGCAAGTTTATTCACACCTTTTGTCATTAGCTTTGCCCATCATTACAGAAATGTGTCAGTTGCGGTTTACATAAAAAAAATAACATTAAATACTTACTTTTTTGCCTCCAAAAACTTGCTTCTTCCACTCTGGCATATCAGACACCATTAGACCAGCACCCTTTGAATTACCATCAACTTGCTGGTTAGCTGTACCAGGCATTGGATCAATCCAATTTTTATTGAGGCCTGTCATATAAAATATAAATACTGAAAACCTGGAACAGCGGTAATGAATATCCAGGTTCATAAACAATAAATCACCTGCAGGTGCTGAATCCAACTCGCTTTCCCTTTGTTGCTGCTTGATTTCTCTTCTTTCTTTTGATAAAGCACTTTGCATCATTGCTGACTTGGACAAAGAACCATCAGGATTTTTAACGATTCTTACCTAAAAGAAAAAAAAATATATAAATTAGAGAGATTTACTTTTATTTGGACAAACTAGAAGTAATTTCCTAACACTTTTCAAATAATAATATATGCAAAAAGCAAAATACATTGGTCAAATCATCATAACGGTTCAGAATCAAAACATAGATGCCAAAACTCTTAATATTTGCTGAATAGAACTTCGAATGTCCAGTCGAGTATACTCACTGGACTGAGATCAATACTTTGCTTGGTATGTCCACTGAGAAATGGTGGTTCTTCTTCCACCAAATCAACTTCTAAATCTTCATTATCACTGTCATCTTTTGGAAGAACACCTATTTTATTAAAATCATTTATTGAATTAGTTGAACGACACCGAAACTCAAATTTAAAAGCACTTCTAAGGAACAGAAATGTCATGTCAAATGGTACCAAGATACAGCTATTTACAAAAATCCAGAAGCATGGGGCTAATTGAGTAACTCAAGAAAATTGGGTCGATATCCAATAAACAATGCTTAAGAAATTCAAAGTCAATAAAAATTCTATTTTCACATTCTTTGTATATTTATCAGACCTATATTGGTGAAGATCTGAGAAACTGGCATTTGCCCCAAGATGGTAAATAGGGTAAAAATAAGCACGAAATGCTAAGTCTGAGAGATATTTGCCATTAAGATATGTCGGACTCAAACATCGTACAGTGAACATTGAAGGTAAAGGTAATCTAATTTACACTTAGTTTTTTCTGTTGGCGACATCAACTTAAAATAAACTAAAGCTATTACACACAAGAATGATCATATTTACCAGACTCTTCATCAAAATCAGGTAGTTCAGTGACATCCATACATCCAGCTGAAATCATTTGTTTTATTTCCCATCTTTCCATGTCAGACATTTTATTGATTCTTGTTGGTGATGATCCATGCTGATCAGAAAATATGATATATTATATTCATATCAGTGCTTATTTAAAGTCGAAGAGCAATTTAGTAGAAAAACATACAAACAAAAAGTAACAAATTAAAATATATTAACATGTTTCAAGATCACTCATGGAGTTCTCCTATAAATAAAGCAATGAAAAAACGGAATTCGTCAAATGTTTCAGAAATATTATATGAGCAAGAGCAAAAATGCATGACGAAGTAAAAAAAAACATTTTAAAATGGTAATAAAAGTAGATAAGAATCATGACTCATACAAAGGTATCATTTAATCTGATAAAAAATATCATATCTACAAATGGGTAATGAGTAATGAGGCAAAGTATAGCCTAAAGTACTACTGCATTACTAACCTCTGAATCTTTTGCCATGGCAAGTGGTATATCACAAGGACGATCCGGATTCCTACCAGTAGTTTCATTCGATTTTTCAGAAGCTGGTTGAGAACGATGTATCCTAAAATGATAAACCATTTTGCATAAAAAATTACTATATTATAAATAATAAATTGTCAAAACAAAAAGGAAGATCTGCCTCCAAAAAAACATCTTGAAAATATTATCAAGTGACATATGGACACTGCATAAGGTTTTTAATCAGTAGTGACTTGGTAATTAATAGATTGCATGTTCACCTAGATCTAGCTAAGGCTCTTGTCACAGGGCGATTTGTGCAGCAAATACACACATCTATTTACAAAATTTACTGACAAAAAGATGTTCTTTTTTTAACTTAATCAATATTTTAGTATTAAAATGAACGCCACATATAATCAGATATTCAAAAACCGCGCATATATAGCAACTATAGCAACAATCTCTGGAGCAACATACCGCTTGGGGTTTAGATCTTCACCAGTTCGCTGGTCAACTTCTTTCATCGACAAACTTACTTTAGTACCAGTAAAACTGAGCACCTTCGTCTTAACTTTCATTCCCCGATGAGCAACTTCTGATACATTAGCAACCCTCCCTTCTTTCCGCAACTCTAAATCATTATGTAACATCAAAAGTTAAAAGTATGGAGAACTATATTTCCATGAGATTAATTTAGCTAGTTTTAAAACATTGCATTGCATGTATGTAAGTTGAAAACCATTACCATTCCAGCAGTTTTGTACATGGCAAGTCCACAGCAGTCGAATAAAATAATGCTATATTTGATATAGCATATTATTAAATTGGAAGAAATTTAGGAAGTACCTGATATATGTACAAGACCTTCCCATCTTTTCGCAAGGCCTTCAAGTTGAACAAAACATCCAAATTGCTGCAACGACGTAACCTTTCCATCATAAATATCACCAGGCTTTGGTTCCACCGGCAGTGCTGATCTGCATGAATTAGTACAAATTTTGAAAATAAATGATTGCAGGAACCGTGGGACAAAGGACGATGGTTAACTACCGGTATAACTGTAGTTAAAATATTTATTTGTGAATAGTTGCATGAAATATAAAAAGCACACTGTACATACAATATAATATTTCTGCCCTCAATGATGATATCTCATCAGAAATTATTGATTGTGCCCGATACTGCATGATTTCAGACAGGCGCGCAGCCAGGATTTTCAAAAGGGGGGGTTTCATAATCATAAATTCCCATTGCGGTCTGTAAGTCTTCGAATTACGCGCTCGTTGAAGGGACGTCTTTTCAGCGTATAATGATTATTCTTGTCGCGTGAAATATTCAATCTCTGACAACTACAAAATTCTAAAATGTCTTTATATATTAGTTTAATTGTGTCCAACGTAACTCGCGGTTGCTTCTTCTTACGTCAAAATTAAAACATTAGTTCTCTGAAATGCCACGGCATCGGTGGACATAAAAATATGAGGATAAACGGTGTATTTAATTTTAATACGTATTTTTGGAATTTTGCCAACTCGGTATCGCCGTTAGAAAAATCTCAATAACTGATATAAAATCCCGAAACGTACAATTTTATTTCGTACAATGAAAATGCGTATGAAGTATATCGTTGAATCAAAAATACATATTCATCGCCGCGATTACGCCACTTGTTAAAAGAGCCGACGTTTACAACGAAAAATGATTTTTCTGTTGTGCAAAGTAATCAATTCGTGACCGATAAGGGCATATTTAAAATGTCTTGCTTAATTAATTTAATTGTCTTCAATTTAACCAGCTTTTGCGTCGACAAAACAAAACAATTTTTTACAATTCACAATTTTAAAATACCTCGGCCATTTGCCGACATAAAAATAAAAATTTGTGGTAACTGCCCGTCGCCTATCATATATTGTTTTGATCCGTATTTTTTCTATTTTGCAAATTCGACAAATTTGAGATGTGCTTGTAACATTGACTCCGTTCAATCGCAATGCTGACACTCCGATTATTTTTAAAGATAAAACCTCCTGAAAAATCCGTAAATCTGCTGTGAATTCTCATGGAGTAAAATTTATTTCAGTACAATAAAAATTGATGGATATACTTCGGATTAATTATCTTATATATCATCACAAACTGGGAAAAAATCGCGTTTTCCAACCTTGTTTAATAATGATAACACGAAAATTTTCTACGAGAATTTTAAAGTAATGGATAAAAGGCAAATCCCACCCACAATTAACCGTGTTTCGATTTTAGTGATGGTATGTTCCTAAACGGCGACCAAACATAATGTGCGCCATAGGCACACGAAATTTTGCGACTAGAAAAGCGTTTTTAGACTGTCGCGGGACTCAACAAAACTTATACTGTTTACGGTTTTATTTTCAGTATTTTATAATTCCGCTTTTCAATCAAATTTAGATCGCGGTTTTACTCCTTCTTTTGTCTTTAGAACCTCGCCACCGATGAACGTATAATAACTTACGAATTCACAATTCCGTGCAAAGTACAAAAATAAAATAATTATCATGTTTATCGTGGCACAAATTTATGATTTAGAAAGAATAAAAACCGACGTAAGGGCGTTTACGGCCCAAATAACAAGCTGATGAAAACATGGGCGATTTTAGCAGAAAGCAATTGCACACTTTTTCAGTTTTCACATTTCCGTGCGGGTACAAAAATAAAATAGTTACCATTGTTCCCGCGGCACAAATTTGTGATTTAAAGAGAATAAACACCAATGTAAAGGGCGTTCACGAAATAAATAACATGCCGCGTTGATGAAAACGAACGGCGATTTCAGCAGAAGGCAATTGCACGTGTTATCGGCAACTTTTTCACTTTTCGGAAAATTAAAAAGGGGGGGTTTCGACCCCGAAAACCCTGAAACCCGAAAAAACTGGCTGCGCCACTGATTTCAGATATCAAATCAATATTATAATTACATAAACACCTTTTAGCTGTTTCTTTTTCTTTACTTCTATCTCTATCTTCATTCTCCCTAACTCTCTTTCTCGTTGACCCAGGGTGGTCTTTATGAGAGCTTGAAAAATATCTTCCACGATGCCTCGAATTTGGTGACTTGGATCTTGACCTTCCATGTCTTTTGTAATTACGATCACGACTTCTATTCCTATGAGGACTCCTGGACCTCGATCGTGAATGACGAGAATGTCTAGATTCAATTTCATTTATTTAGGAAAACATTTTTAGCATATGCACACATCATGCTTGAAAAAGAATAATTCAAAACAATTAAAACTTTGCATCGAGTTGCAAAAATTTATTTTTGAGATTTGTGAAACTGATTAGCCGTGCATGATTAATAAACAGTACACAGGTAGCGGTACCTTGAAGACATTCAAAAATTGGCGACTAAACCAATTTGGAAATATCAGTTAAATGAATCATTGGTAACTTGAACAGAAATGAAGTTTAATATACTCTTCAATTCCGCTGTTCCAGGTCCTCTTAGCAGTGGTTCTGTGGTTGCTGAGCATGTAACCACAATTTCTAACTTCAGAACAAATAATGAAGAAACTCATATTTGCAAACTTTTATGTGTGTGTAATATTTCTTTCACACCTTTCAGGAGAACGTCGAGACTCGTGTGAGTGTTTGTTTCTTCTTTCGTCTTTTTTATCTTGTGATTTTTTTTTCACTGATTTTTTCTCATCTTTTTCCAAATCTTCGATACTACCAGGCATGAGGGATGCAAGGGCGTCCATGGTGGAAGCCGCATCTTTTTCATCATCTAAAAATATGTACAATGCTCAGTCTCGTAAAACAATGTATTCCTATTTTCAGATTTCTCAAACATTCTTTGCAAGATGTATACTGTATATTCCCGAAAATACGCCTATCTCGCGAATAAGCCGACTCCCTAAAAACGGCGATTTTATAAAAAATTCGCAAATATGCCAATCCTAGGAATCGTTACACGCCGGACGCCTTAAGAAAGGCGTAGTAAGAGAACAAAATTACTGTAACGCGAACATTTCTCATGATTATCGTTTCTGCATGTTAGCGAGGGCCATAGGTGGATATTTACCCGTAACTCTTACTTGTACATTTATGTTAATAAAGTCTATATTGCTTTTCAATGCGTCGTGATTTGTATTAATGGAAAAGATTGTGTCTGGAGTTTAAAAGAGTTCCTGAATCAGCATAAAACAATTCCTTTGATCGCCCACAACACGGTTAATTTTGATAAGAGTCCTTATCAGCGCAACTAAAAAGGATAACATATCGTACATGTGATTAAAAGTCAGGCGCCGTTGTTTGCGTTACGGCGATAGCGTACCAAATATTAACAGTTTCACCACGAAACATCTGGCCGTAAATCAACACTGTTGCTCTTATGTAAAAGATAAAATCAAATTCTTTTCATTGTTGTTATATTTTACTTTTATTGAAAATGGTAAGATTAGGAACAACGGAAATAAAAAACAAAAATAAATAACGGGAACAAAGAACGGAAATACATAATGAAAACAAATAACGAAATGAATAATGGGAACAAAACCAGAAATAAATAATGGAAATAAAAACGGAAATAAACAATGGAAACAATGAACGGAAATAAATAAGGGAAACAAATAAGGGTAATAACAGTCTCAAAATCCTTCGAATTCTTCCTCACTATCACACTACCCAAAGAGATCATTCCATTCCTTGCAGTTGACATTCGTTTCTTCATCTGTATCACTGTCGTCCTCCTGCCATAGGGCATCGTCTTCCGTGCCATCTAAATTGTTGCTGATGCAACATTTTAGAAACGACTTTTTCACCATATCTTCTGGAATCATTTCCCATGAGGGCTTTACCCAAGACACAACTGTAAGCAAAGGAGGGCGCTTGAAATTACCTTTGGCTGTAAGTTCAGCCTTGCCATCTGCCATCCACTGGTTTCTCACATGTGCTTTAAAGGATCTGTTCAGACTGACATCTAACGGTTGTAGCATCCCAGTCAACCCTCCTGGTATGACTGCCGAGACAGTATTCGACTACTTAAGAGACATCTTAACATTTTAGGTAAGGTGAGCTCTGAATTGGTCCCAGACTAACATTGAGGGTTTCATGCGAAGACCTCCATTTCTGAGTCTTCACACCTTATTCAACCATTTCAATACGCCTACTTCGTCCATCCATCCCTTTGGGTGCTCTGATGGATGACTACCCCAGAAGGAAATTTATGCTTTGGTGGTGTTTTTCTTTTGAATATTATCATTGGGGGCAACTTCGCTCCATCGGCAGTGCAACTGAGCCCAACTAGAAAATGGTTTTTTTCATGCCCTGTCGTCTTTATTAGGACTGTTTTTTCACCTTTTGGGTTTAAAGTTCTATTACTCGGCATGTCGAAACATATTGGGGTCTTGTCCATAGTGCCCATTCTATTCAGAGGGAAATCATGAGTCTTTCGATTACTTATCACGAAACGTTAAAAGTTCATTTTCTTTGGAATTCTGATGGCAGCTTTTGGGCTATTTTTGTTCTTTGTCTAAGAGATATTCCATTTCCCATCAAAAACCTTGTGCACCAACCCGTGGAAGCAGTGAAAGTTGAGGTGCCTTGGTAATTACCAGATTTGGCCATCTGCAATGCTTGCAACTGCACTGCAAATCTGGATACACTGTAGCCATTCTGCCTTTGACCTTCAAACCACTCGAGAAGGTCCTTTTCCATTTCAGGATGTTGTCCAGTTTTGGGCCCTCTTTTGGCGCGTTTTGAATTGAGCATGGATTCCAATGAACTATCCTTTTTCCATCTTCTAACGTTACTCTCATCCACTCCAAACTTTTTTGCTGCTTTAACGTTGTTTGACTTTTCTGCAGCCGCTACAACTTTGAGTTTAAAAGAACAAGGGTAGGACATTCTTTTTCTGATAGAGTAAGACATGATCATAGTAGTTTACAATTGTAATGAATGATCAATGACAGGCTGTCTATAGCGCAAACACGCAAGCAATCACGTGTGTGACAACCAATCACAGACTGTACAAGCAGGGGCGGACAACCTGAGGGGGCGAAGTGGGGCGGTCGCCCCCCAATAATTTCGCAAAGTATTTTAACACATGTTGTTTCCGCCTTACAATTATCATTTCCGAAAAGTGCGATAGTCAAGGGCAATTAAACGGTTAAAAGTTACCGATATTATAACTGTTTTCTCACAATAATGTAGACCAGATAGAGCGCCCTCGAAGCACCTCACATTTTCGTGAAACATGAGCGCCCGCACGGGTAATACTCCGCCTTCAGACGCACCGCCGATCACGCGCCACGGTTTTGCACATCTAATTCATTTTTGTACAATCTAATATGGTTTTCTTATTTTCAAAATCTTTCAATAGTGTTATTGTTGGCACTTGCGAGAGAAATGAAAGAGGCAACTGTATTTCATTACAACAATTAATTATTATCGCTAAAACATTAAATAGATTTAAAGTTGTTATAAACAATTTTCACCGCTGGACGTATCTTTTCACGTTATGGATTTCGTGCGAGGCCCAGCATAATTTGCGGGCAAAGATCAAAGCATTTACTATGTCGAAACGCTTATTCGACTTTTCAGGCCACCGAAACTATCTAAAAAAGATAACCCCCGTCTGAATTTTTTCGAAAACTGAAAAAGTCGCCAATAACGCGTGCAATTGCATTTTGCTAAAATCGTTGATTGTTTTTATCTGTTATTTAGGCCGTAAACGCCTTTACGTTGGCGTTTATTCTCTCTAAATCACAAATTTTCAACAAATTTGTGACACGATGACTATGATAATTATTTTATTTTTGTATTAGCATGGACTTATGAACCCGGCGAGAATTCCTATAAGTTCATCGGCGGTGAGATTCTAAAGACAAATGAAGGAGTAAAATCCGAGACCTATATTTTTTAGTTCAAAAGCGGCAATATAAAATACTAAAAATAAAACTGTAAACAATATAATTTTTGTTGAGGCCCGAGACAGTCTAAAAACGCTTTTCTAGGCATCGAAAATCGCAAAATTTCGTGTGCCTACGGCACAAATTATGTTTGGTTGGCCTTTGAAAACATTTTGTCACTAAAATCGAAACACGGTTAATTGTGAGCGGATTTGCCTTTGTATCCATTACTTTTAAATTGACGTCGAAAATTTTCGTGTCAACATTAAATATGGCTGAGAACGCGACTTTTTCCCGGTTTGTGATGATATATAAGATAATTAAAGTATATTCGATCAATTTTTATTGTACTGAAATAAATTTTACTACGTGAGGTTTGACAGAAAATTTACGGATTTTATTTTATTATAGGGTTTTAGAAATAATCGGAGTGACAACATTGCGATTGAGCAGAGCCAGTGTTACAAGCAGGCGCGCAGCCAGGATTTTCAAAAGGGGGGGTTTCATAATCATAAATTCCCATTGCGGTCTGTAACAGTCTTCGCAACTAAAATGTCTTTATATATTAGTTTAATTGTGTACGAGGTAACTCGCGGTTGCTTCTTCTTATGTCAAAATCAAAACATTAGTTTTCTGAAATGCCACGGCGATCGGTGGACATAAAAATATGAGATTAACGGTGTATTTAATTTTAATACGTATTTTTGAAATCTTGCCAACTCGTTATCGCCGTTAGAAAAATCTCAATAACTGATATAAAATCCCGAAAAGTACAATTTTATTTCGTACAATGAAAATGCATATGAAGTATATCGTTAAATCAAAAATACATATTCATCGCCGCGATTACGCCACTTGTTAAAAGAGCCGACGTTTACAACGAAAAATGATTTTTCTGTTGTGCAAAGTAATCAATTCGTGACCGATAAGGGCATATTTAAAATGTCTTGCTTTATTAATTTAATTGTCTTCAATTTAACCAGCGTTTGCGTCGACAAAACAAAACATTTTTATACAATTCACAATTTTAAAATACTTCGGCCATTTGCCGACATAAGAATAAAAATTTGTGGTAACTGCCCGTCGCCTATCATATATTGTTTTGATCCGTATTTTTTCTATTTTGCAAATTCGACAAATTTGAGATGTGCTTGTAACATTGACTCCGTTCAATCGCAATGCTGACACTCCGATTATTTTTAAAGATAAAACCTCCTGAAAAATCCGTAAATCTGCTGTAAATTCTCATGGAGTAAAATTTATTTCAGTACAATAAAAATTGATGGATATACTTCGGATTAATTATCTTATATATCATCACAAACCATGAAAAAATCGCGTTTTCAACCTTGCTTAATGATAACACGAAAATTTTCTACGACAATTTTAAAGTAATGGATAAAAGGCAAATCCCACCCACAATTAACCGTGTTTCGATTTTAGTGACGGTATGTTCCTAAACGGCGACCAAACATAATGTGTGCCATAGGCACACGAAATTTTGCGACTAGAAAAGCGTTTTTAGACTGTCGCGGGACTCAAAAAACTTATATTGTTTACGGTTTTATTTTCAGTATTTTATAATGCCGCTTTTCAATCAAATTTAGATCGCGGTTTTACTCCTTCTTTTGTCTTTAGAACCTCGCCACCGATGAACGTATAATAACTCACGAATTCACAATTCCGTGCAAAGTACAAAAATAAAATAATTATCATGTTCATCGGGGCACAAATTTATGATTTAGAAAGAATAAAAACCAACGTAAGGGCGTTTACGGCCTAAATAACACGCTGATGAAAACATGGGCGATTTTAGCAGAAGGCAATTGCACACTTTTTCAGTTTTCACATTTCCGTGCGGGTACAAAAACAAAATAATTATCATTGTTCCCGCGGCACAAATTTGTGATTTAAAGAGAATAAACACCAATGTAAAGGGCGTTCACGGCATAAATAACATGCCGCGTTGATGAAAACGAACGGCGATTTTAGCAGAAAGCAATTGCACGTGTTATCGGCAACTTTTTCACTTTTCGAAAAATTCAAAAGGGGGGGGGGGGGGGTTCGACCCCGAAACCCCCCTCCCCTGGCTGCGACACTGGTTACAAGTACATCTCAAATTTATCGAATTAGCAAAATAGCAAAAATATGGATCAAAACAATATATAAACTGGCAGTTTACCACACATTTTATGTCCGCGGATTGCAGTGGTGTTTTAGAGTGGCTCTTGTTTTGTCGACGCAACCCCAATTTAAATTGAAGACAATTAAATTAATAAATTAAGACATTTTAAATATGCCCGTATCGGTCTTTGATTGATTACTTTGCACAAGTAAAAAATCATTTTTTGTTGAAAAAGTCGGCTCTTTTAACAAGTGGCATAATTGCGGCGACTGTTCAGCGTGGATTTCGAGGCTGTTAATTTGTATTTTTGATTTACTAGTATACTTATAATTATTTTCATTGTATGAAGTAAAATTGTACTATACAGGATTTTATATCAGAAATTGAGATTTTTGTAACGGCGATAGCGAGTTCGGAAGATTGCAAAAATACGTATTAAAATCAAATACATCAGGCAGCTTATCTCATATTTTTATGTCCACATATCGCCGTGGTATTTTAGTTAAGTAATATTTTTATTTTGACGTAAGAAGTCGCAACAGCGAGTAACGTTGCACACAAGAATCTCGTGGCTGTCATAGATTGAAAATTTTACGCGACAGAAAAATCATTATATGCTTAAAAAGGCGACTCTTTTAACGAGCGCGTGATCGCGGTGACTGTTACAGACAGCAATGAGAATTTCCGACTTTGATCCCCCCTGCCAATGTTCCCTCTAATTTTTTGTAGTATGTGTGCGCAGAAATTTTGGTGTGTGCGCACTTTTTTGGAAATGACTAATATTGCTGCAAAAACCAATGAAGAAACTTTGGCGTTCTAACCGGGTAATAATAAGGGGGCCAACAACAAACTTTCTCAACCTGCCAACCGAGCACATTGTTACATTACATCCAAATACGTCAGTGCGCAGTAAATCTATGCGTGTGCGCAGCCTCTGAAAGCTGTGTGCGCGCGCACACGCGCACACTATAGAGGGAACACTGCCCTCCTCCACCTTTTTTTGAAAATCCTGGCTGCGCGCCTGAACTTGTGCCTGTTTATTTTTGTATTAAATTATAAATAAAACCCTGCAAAGTCATTGCGTGAATCCTGAATGTTATTTCGAGTTCAAATGATGATTTAATAAATCGGCAATAATGGCAATTTTACTATTCAAATGATAATTCCTCAGTAAAATTTGGGGAAAAATTCGCACAATAGCTTGTTATCTTGTTTTGCATTGCTAATTTTACGAAACGGCATTAGTGCGCTTTATGCAGAACTAGGAATTGAAACAATAACCCAATGCGACTCCTCAAATTTGTAGTTTCTGTTTGTTAGCAAGAGCCGTGGGCTAATTCTCGCAGAATTCAAGAAATTGGTTCAGTGCCAGGCAGGTCATGTGTCCTAGGTACTCGATATATGAGTAGCAAAATGACATTCTAATACTTAGAGAATGACATGGACAGGTTATTGTTATGTGACGATACACGGCGCGGTGTTTTTCGGTAGGCGATCCAAGTTCGCCCCCCCAAAATTATGGAAAGTGTCCGCCCCTGTGTACAAGCGATCATGTGGGATCAGACAATCACACCTGCACAAGCAAGCGACAACCAACCAATCACAGACTGTACAAGCATCACGTGTTGAACAACCAATCACAGACTTTACAAGCCATCAGCTGTATGATAAGACAATCACACCTTCACAAGCGATTGTGTGTGTGCGTGGACGCACTGTTTATCGTGAGAACTTACGTAGTATGGTTTGAAGCTGTTGGAATTACCGGCAAGTCAGAATAATATCATTTCGTTGCGTGATCAAAGTCATGCGCGAATGAGCCGATTTTTTGGTGTGATCTGAGTCATGCGTGAATAAGCCTGTTCCTTAGTTTGGCAACTTGTTTTTAGTTTTAAACTCGGCCTATATGCGAGAATATACGATATGTATGAGTAAGGATGTTTCTGGGCTGGATTATAAGACACATAGGCCCTTAATTTCTCACGTTTATCGTTTCTGCCTGTTAGCGAGGACCGTAGGTGGATTCTTATTTGTAAATTTATGTTTAATGAAGTGTATATTGCTTTTCAATGCATCGCGATTTGTATTAATGGAAGGGATTGTGTCGGGAGTTTACAAGGAATCTCCTCAATCAGCATAAAACGATTTCTTTTGATCGCCCACAACCGCAGTTTCGTTCCATGTTTGTTTCAAGGAAAGAAATAGCGCTGTATTAACACATTCTTATAAATCGTAGATTCGAAAATTGCTATTTAATGGATTTTCAAACGTCCTAGAATGTCCTTTTGTGACATATTTACAAGCTACATTCTTTCGATGTTGCTACAGTTGGCAATTCTTCGGTAATGCGATTTGAATAATTTTATTTATCAGCTGATTTTGAATATTGTGTCATTACTGATGTTGATATCATCTCGTTACGTGATCAAAGTCATGCGCAAATGAGCCAATTTTTTGGTGCGATCTGAGTTATGCGTGTATGCGACCATTCTGAAGAATGCATGGACTGCAGACTGTTGCCATGATTAGAAATGCACCGTGTACCGCTATGCATGTTAGGCATTGGCAGTCGACTCATCAACCATATTACTGTGAGACAAGTGAAAAGAAAGTCAGGATTGCAAGTGGTGGCACAACTGCTATTTTCATTCGGAGTGACTTCGATCGATGGTGGTATTTCGTTCAATTGTGTTTTAATTTTGAAATATTACCGTGCTGTTTTGTTTGGCTAGCATCTTTATTAAATTGAGATAAACTACCTTTGAATAGCCTAGTCTATACAATACCTGATAACAAATTCTTGACATAATCTTTATCATCAGCAATGCATAATGCTGGAAACATTGTCTTATGTCTGTTAAAATCGGGTCCTTTGTCATTCCCATCGCTTTTTGAATCATTTTTTAACTTTTTATCTGAAAGGAAAATATAAATGTTTACAAATATTATGCCAGTAAGAATTGTTTCAAATGTATGAAATTAACAAATGAAAAAAATCTACAATTGGTGTCTAAACGCAATTATTTCATAGTAACATGAGACATGGATTCTACAACCTAAAGATTTTATGGTCTCAATTCAGAAAAAAGAACTATCTACAAATTTATGTCAAACAGAAACAACATATTTCAACATTCTAGGAATCACAAAAATTATGTTGACAAAACTGCTCAGATGTGTAACATTTTCTACAGTTGTCAACGACCTGGTCATCATTTCTTCAGCTGAATAATTAGTCTCTGCCATTTTGGGACAATATTCATTTAACACATACTATTGACATTCAGTTATTATCGAACAGTTACTCAATAATAACCAAACCCAAGCTATAAACAGTCTATTAGACGCCACATTACGGAATCATCCAAAAACCGAGAGTATATATGAATGATGGACATACTCTTTATTCTTTTCTTTTGTGGTGGCCTCATTCTATGTATAAGAGACAAAAGATTTCTTGTAAAAGAATGTGGAAACTCTGCTCCATTTTTAGCTAATGCCGATGAGAATGACTCGACAGTGACATGTTTTCCAGCGAGATTGATGACAAATTCCGCTAAATAGAAATATTATAACTATTTTACTTCAGTTTCTTTGACTATGCATTCAATGAACTTGTAATCTCCCAATCAGCCAAAATGCTTGCAAGTAAGCTTTATATTAATGAATTCAGATATTTATTTTGTTGTCCAAGATATATTGTAACAACAAAATTAATCAGAAATAGTATTAAAAATAAAAATAAACAGACATACAATATTGCCGCAAAAGGCCACCAAAGTCATAGTGTCAGCGACACTGTCAAGTATTCAAAATATCCAAAAACTTTTAAATTAAAAAATTTACAAGCCTGATTTTTTATTTTCTAACCTTCGGTAAGGTTTTGTTGTACGAAGACACCTAACTTATGCTATACACCAACAACTGGACCATCACAGAAACATGCTAATGTGTCAGGTTGTTCAGTTAATAAAAATGTCTGAGATGCCACCAAGTTTACTGAACTTATAAACTTATGTTAGAATGTGTCGAAAAAATCGATGCTTAACTGAAAATTGGACATAAGAATGTAAAAAGAACTACAATACCTAAATCTTTATCGTTCATTCCAAGATGGTTGTCTAATTCTGTACAAACTTTCGACACCAAAGAAAGATATTCAAGTTTTTCCAAGTCATCCATAATTTTGCATAGATGGTCCCAAAATTATCTAAATTCTGAAATTACAAAATGCAAGCAAAAATTACTACAGTTAGTATTACATAGTGCAGTTTGTCAGCCAGCTCTTGGCGTAATTCTGCAGTTCTGTAAAGCAAAAAACCATACAGCCAAGATGCTTTAGTTAAGGTACATCTGGTATGTAAAGAAGAAGGGAAAAAGAGAATGGTCTGGTCAAGTACACGATATAACTCTGATTCTATACAAGTATCAGATTTATAGACCTTCCTTCTGCCAGTGTCACGAGTGTTATCTTCGTATTGCTGTATTGAGGTTTCATTATTCAGTTTCTAATGGGACAGAGAAAGAGGGATTTTATTTTTTCGTCAACCAAAATAATATAACAGTCATCGTACTAATAAAAATAATAACAATCAATTAGTAATAGTAGACAGGAGGGAGTAATACGACCAGACGATCATCAAAGTCAACTCCCTCTTTCACGCTGTTATGTTTACAGAGTTTAACATTCACAATTTCAGATGACTAAATAAGAGGTAGAACATCCAGACATCTGGATTTACATATTTATCCAAAGTGCTGGAAGGAGAGGAAAGTCGATAACACGCCTTAACCACATGCTGACATGGCAAACCATGGCCTCTCGTCCGGGTACCGGTACCATTCCACGTCGAATACCGTATGGGATTAGTTAGTTATTTGTTTTAGGAAGCATGAACTTGATTCTAGTATTTAAAATTATATTCACAAAATGGAAGAATGAACTTGGAGGGTAATTCTGGAACGCTAGAGTAAATCATTTTTATTTGTGTAATGTCACAAAAGCATCTTCATGTTGAGGTTTCAGTACAGCAGTATCAAATCCTTATACTGTTATACCTGTATTTGTATAGGTCTACTGTGATAAACCGAATAAAAATTTGATAAGCTACAAGGTAAAATTTTGGTTACACAAACAGACATAATTAATATGAATTTAAGCAAACAAACATAGGGCCTATAAAAAACTTAAATCAATAACATCAGGGTACGGTGGCTTACCCACTTTGCGGCCACAACCTATTTGCGACCATCAACTTCATCGATTAAATTACTGCCAAAAAAATTAACGAGCCGCGACGATATTTCTCACGCGTTATCGTCCACTTATCCCTCGTAGCTCTGCGAAATTACACTAAAATGCGGCCACAACAAAAAAAGTTACGACCGAAAACCCGACCGAAGAAAAAAAACGGACTGTTTTCCCATGTCGCCAACTATCCATTGTTCCTTTAAAAAACTTGAAAATTCATACAAATATAGGAGATAAAGAGATGAAACTTGGCAGGTGGATAGAGTTGTGTTTCTTTTTACCATCTTTAAAGTGGGCATGGCTGCGTATGCCCTAGTCTCGATGCAGCAGAAACGATGTTCAAGGCTTGAAAGCCGTGGTCGCACACTGGTCGTTCGGTCGCAAATACGTCTTCAGAGTGTCGAACTTTGGTGGTTTGTATTGCTTTAACCCCTGGTCGTAGAAAGTTAATTCGAGGTTTAGCTTGTAGAAAAAATGCCGATGCACCTACAGTGAAAAAATTAACGGGTTAGAAATATTGGTTTTTGTTTTATAGCGGTTTGAATGAAATCGTCCGCAGATTGGCTACACCACCCTAGTTCCATCAGCATCAGGCACGTTATTTCCAGATAATCCATACGGCAACCTGGAACAGTGTTCAATTTTCTTAATTTGTCATATAGAATTATAGATTATTGATATATACAACTTTACAAGGTCGAATTTTATAACCTCTATTCGTGGGAAATCGGGGTGCACAGTTCAGGTACGGTTAACTTACCTAAATCTTACTCGGCTGAGTGGCGCATGTGCTAAGGGTCAGGAATACGCTCGCCACCGCATCTCTGATTACCCTTCGTGTGATTGCAGGTTCGAATCCCATGCGGGGATGATCATGTGCGAGAGGATGGCTGGACTCCTCGCAGCCGTAGGGTCCATGCTTCCGAAAACAAATAACTGGCTAACTAATCCCATGCCCGACCTGGACTGGTAACCGGACGAGAGGCCGTGATTCGCCATATGATTAAGCCGTCTTATCGGCTTTCCTCTCCCCCGGGATAAATATGTGAATCCTATCCTATCCTACTTACTTGTACTTTGCCTGATGCGGGATTCTCAGAAAACGACGGCGACGATGCCTTTTGGCGTAGGTCAAAAGTTGCTTAATTAGTGCGATACTCGTGGTGTGCAGCGTCCGGTTGCGAGTGGGAGTCGTGACTCATCTAAGGCCCATGGGCCGGGGCCACGGCCCATCGAATTGGGCCTCGGCCCATCAGGCTATGGGCCGCGACCCATCAAGTTGTGTAAAGGGACTATTCACTTGGCTAACACAGACAGTCCTCGAACTCATAATAGAACTATAATGTGAAAAATCTGAACAAAATTTTGTCCTAACTCTAACCTGGTACACATACTACAGGAGTATCACTGTTGGTAGTTTGGTATTATGCTTTATTTTTATATAAATGCTTATCGTAAGAAAAAAAATTTGGTAGCATCCCACGATTTTTTTTGGTTCGAATATTTACAATTTTGTAAAAATTTGAAAATTTTGGTAAGATAATTGAATTTTTCCTGATGGGGCCACGGCCCATGTGGCCCAATTAGATGAGCCGTGGCCCCGGCCCATGGGTCATAGCGGAGTCACCACCCCTGTAGCCGGTTGCCGTTTGCCAAATTTGGCCGGTCTTCATGTTTTTTTCATAATTACTGAATATATTCAGTCAACTTTGACATTTTTTCAAATTTTCCGTGAATTGTGTAAGTTTTTGGTATTTTGCCTCATTTATATTGATTGCTACATGGGAATTAAGTGCTTTCAGTGTCATGTTAATCATAAAAACTGTGGAAATTTATTCACTCCATTAAATAACGTTTTTTTATTCATAGATTTTACATATGCATTGTCTCTGTTTCAATTAATGTAAATGACCATGGCCAAACTGATGATGTGTTAGCTCATTTAAAATTGTCACCGCATGGAAATGCTAAGATGTTTAAGTTTAAATTGAAACAATTTATTTGTTCGAATTATACAGTAATATTTAAATTTCAATTGGGTAAATGAACTACATCCTGGTATTGTTATATCTTGAAGCTTGTGAAATCAGGTTCGGTGGGCTGTAGTATCTGAAATATTTTTATTAGCGCATACAACTAGAAAGATTTTCTGGTCATTGAAATGGGTATTTGAGCAATCCTGACAAAACTCGAACATTCCCGCTTCAAATTAGCGTTCTTCTAGGTTTTGTTGCACCGTTATGACCACGATGTTAGCACTGTAGTACAGTATGTTTATCTAGTTCTGCAGTGGTGCACTTGCAGTGCTAAATTCGAATACTATATTTCGTTCATTGAGTTAAGACTTGAACATTTGTTGTTGTTTTTAAATTCATTTTGGAATTATATAAGCACAATGGTTGGCCCAAACGAATCGAATATAAAAGAAGTGTGATTCAAGAATCTTGCTGAACACCAACGCAAATATATTGCATTAACGTTTCGTCTGGTCATAGTCAGACTTCTTCAGACATTCAAGGCTCGGCGATGTGGCGCATTGAGCTCGCCGCCGCAGAGTGGTTCACGTAAACTCTGGTCGTTTATGGCTCTCTCCTCTATCATCAAGTCCATGTATCTGAATTATTGCTGTCTGATTCAGATATTTTATTTCCGTCTTGCATGAAATATTGTACTGACACAAGTAATTAAAAAAATGATAACAAAAAGATCAATTGGAATTAGGGTTGGAATTTCGGGGAGGCGCAGTTCTTACCACTTCATGGCAGCTCCTGCCACGAACGAACCGCGGCAGCTCTTGCCATAGTTTTATAGCGCTATTCAGTAATCAGTATTAACGGTATATTCACAAATTAATGTACCAGATTTTAATTGATCATGCGGAACTATATCAACTTAAACTCTAATCCTAACCCCAAATCCATCAAAACTGTATCCACAAGAAAAACGTTACAACTTACCCAATATTTGTCACCATAAGGGATAGAAAATTCTAAAAATCGCGTCAGTGAGCAATCAATTTAAAGATGGCTGATTCGTCATTGAACAGACCAGATCCTTTGATTTTTGATGGAAATGTTGCAGAAAACTGAAGAATATTCGTTCGTGAATATGATATTTTCATCGGAGCACTGCACAGTGATAAAACTGACGAAGCTAAAGCTTGCATATTTCTTAATTTGATTGGGAAAGAGGGCAGAAAAAAAGAAGAATCTTTTACATATGAGGCAGCTGAAGGTGACATTCCTGCTGAGTCTCGTGATGTCCGAAAAGAAAATTTGCTGAAATGTGCCTACTCAAGTCAAACATAGGACTATCAAGACAATACTTTAACACGAGAGCACAGATGCCAGGTGAATTTTTTCAATCTTTTGTTGTAGACTTGAAAAACCAAGCCAAGACTTGTAAATTTGGTGATCTCAAAGATGAGTTGATTAAAGACGAAATTTTGACTGACATTTATGATGATAACCTGATGAAAGAATAACAATCTGTGAATAACAATCATGTCAAACTCAAAATCGATACGGGTGCTAAATGTAATGTCCTGCCATTGCACATTTTCAATTGTGTCAGATCTTTATGAAAAGATTGACCAGAGAAATCCTGCATTTTTGATTGGTTATGGGTCTAGTAATAGAATTTCTACAATATTGGATCTGTTGCTTTTTTTAGAAGGAACGTTACAGAAATACAGTTGGTAGCATCCCACGATTTTTTTTGGTTCGAATATTTACAATTTTGTAAAAATTTGAAAATTTTGGTAAGATAATTGAATTTTTCCTGATGGGGCCACGGCCCATGTGGCCCAATTAGATGAGCCGTGGCCCCGGCCCATGGGCCATAGCGGAGTCACCACCCCTGTAGAACCGAGTGGGAGTCGTGACTCATCTAAGGCCCATGGGCCGGGGCCACGGCCCATCGAATTGGGCCTCGGCCCATCAGGCTATGGGCCGCGACCCATCAAGTTGTGTAAAGGGACTATTCACTTGGCTAACACAGACAGTCCTCGAACTCATAATAGAACTATAATGTGAAAAATCTGAACAAAATTTTGTTCTAACTCTAACCTGGTACACATACTACAGGAGTATCACTGTTGGTAGTTTGGTATTATGCTTTATTTTTATATAAATGCTTATCGTAAGAAAAAAAATTTGGTAGCATCCCACGATTTTTTTTGGTTCGAATATTTACAATTTTGTAAAAATTTGAAAATTTTGGTAAGATAATTGAATTTTTCCTGATGGGGCCACGGCCCATGTGGCCCAATTAGATGAGCCGTGGCCCCGGCCCATGGGTCATAGCGGAGTCACCACCCCTGTAGCCGGTTGCCGTTTGCCAAATTTGGCCGGTCTTCATGTTTTTTTCATAATTACTGAATATATTCAGTCAACTTTGACTTTTTCAAATTTTCCGTGAATTGTGTAAGTTTTTGGTATTTTGCCTCATTTTTATTGATTGCTACATGGGAATTAAGTGCTTTCAGTGTCATGTTAATCATAAAAACTGTGGAAATTTATTCACTCCATTAAATAACGTTTTTTTATTCATAGATTTTACATATGCATTGTCTCTGTTTCAATTAATGTAAATAACCATGGCCAAACTGATGATGTGTTAGCTCATTTAAAATTGTCACCGCATGGAAATGCTAAGATGTTTAAGTTTAAATTGAAACAATTTATTTGTTCGAATTATACAGTAATATTTAAATTTCAATTGGGTAAATGAACTACATCCTGGTATTGTTATATCTTGAAGCTTGTGAAATCAGGTTCGGTGGGCTGTAGTATCTGAAATATTTTTATTAGCGCATACAACTAGAAAGATTTTCTGGTCATTGAAATGGGTATTTGAGCAATCCTGACAAAACTCGAACATTCCCGCTTCAAATTAGCGTTCTTCTAGGTTTTGTTGCACCGTTATGACCACGATGTTAGCACTGTAGTACAGTATGTTTATCTAGTTCTGCAGTGGTGCACTTGCAGTGCTAAATTCGAATACTATATTTCGTTCATTGAGTTAAGACTT